ACGGTTGGGCCCAAGATGCTCATGCAACAGGACCATGGCAAGCCCCCCGCCATTACGTGGCACCTAGTGGATGGATACGTCCTGGCCATGTCATCCCGAAGACGTGCGCTGACTAGCATCGAGCTTGCGTCGCCGAAGATGCGCTCGAGCAGCGTGCGGATCTCACAATGGCCCCGATGGTATTCGGGTGTTACGGGCTCTAGGAACCCTCGAAGCAAGGCCACCATGGTAGCTATGTTCTAGCTTGCCTGGGTAAAGTGTGGGAGGCCTCTGTCGTCCTCGATGATCCTTTGGTTTACGTCACGAGCGATGGCACGTGCACGGTCACCGTCTCCGCGGCATTCGATCTCATGCTCGAGCTCCGCATGCTCCTACTCTAGCTAGAATCGCGCATCCTTGATCTCCTTGTACCACGTCCTTAGCGGCTCTACCTGTAGGCGAGGCGAGGCCCCTGCATCTCCTTCGACATTGACATCGAGGTCATTCGTAGGAGTAGCCCTCCCTTATGGACACTTTCAACGCGCCCCTCGGGGGTGCCTGCCATGAAGCATTCTTGCGAGGGGTGATGGCTTCCCCTGCTTGAATCATAGTTGGAGATCGTCTCTGAACCTCTCGTGAGAAGGTCATGGAAAGATTTCGTGACATAGTCCGTCATACCCACGATGGTTGCATCGAGGCCGACGGAGCGAAGAAGTTGGACGAGGGTGGGAGCCCACGTTGGCTCTCTCTCCACGGAGACGAAGAAATCTAGGCTCCCAAAGCGTACGTGCGTGCCATGGACCCAGCTGACGCGTGTGGCCGGTTGTGGACGACGAGAAGCGCAAAAGCCCCCTACCTAGCGTGCCAGCTACCAGTGTTTTGAACCGCCGACTTGTAAATTTGTGTTTGCGCGTCTCGCCCGGATGGTGTGCTTGGAGTACACAAGGGTTTATACTGGTTCAGGCGAAATGTCCCTACGTCCAGTTTGAGGCTGCTCGTGTTTCCGGCACTTGCTTGTAGTAGGGGTTACAAACGGGCGAGAGAGGGAGAAGGTCCCAAGTCTCCGATGGAAGGATCAAAAGGAGTTGAGTCTAGTCGAACTTAGTCCCTTGAGCCATTCAGCCTTGAGCCATGCCCTTCATGGGTGTCCTGCTTCCCCTTTTATAGTTAAAGGGGAAGGCGTAGGTTACGAGAGAGAGAGAGAGAGAGAGAGAAGTGAGGAGGAAGAAGGCCTCTGAGGTCATGGCGCCCTTCATCTCCTTTTATGTGGGTCCTGCCGATCCTGTAGATGATGATGGGGACGGCTCCACGTCGCGACCCTATTTATCACTAACGCTATACGTGGGCATCGTTAGCCGATCGTGGTGCTCCATTCTGTTCCGGTGGGCGGCATGGTTAGCAAATACCCCCATCGGAAGTCGTACAGGGATTAGGTAGCATAGCGCCGGCACACCCAACACTGTTGGTGATGTGAGTCCTCAAGTATGGCCCGTCGTGGCCACGGGTCTCATCAAGACGCGCCTACTCCTCTTCTGGTGTCAGAAGTTTGACCCTTGATTTATGCTCTTAGACCCATAGTGGTTGGAGGCGGTATGGACCCCCGTTGGGCAAGGCCGAATCCCCCTTTGAGAGGTCTGGCAAGGCGAAGTCCGCGCCCAAGGGGTCGGATGAGATGGAGCCTGCACCCTCGGGGTCAGATGTGACGGAGCCCGCACCCTCGGGGTCAGGCGACACGGAGCCCGTGCCCTCAGGGTCGGGCGAAACCAAAATATGCTCTTCACCATCCGAGCAAGTTAGCGTTCGCGGCCCGCTGCTTCCTTCTTCTAGGTATCCCTAATACTGATATCCGATAGGAGGTGTAGTTTTGTTTGTCTCGTCACGTAGAACACATCGGTACAGACAGAATTGAAATCGGATGCACCATTTAAAATCTATAGCAATTTAAAGAAAATACAGAGTAGTATTTTGTTTTCTTGGTTTGTGTGCTGACCACATGCAGGCAACGACGACAACAGGCTTCTCGGGGCACAGCCCCACAGGCTTGTTGGGGCATATGCACTGCCCCACTGGCCTGCTGCGCGCTGGTCCCCGCGTGGGCTGGGACTCACGCGCGGGGCTGGGGTCATGCGCTTCAAGTATGAGCTACAGGTCATGCTATATCCGCCTCCAATTATTATATGGCAAGCTAGAGGATATATAGGAGTACTCCCTCTATACTGGTAATTTAAGTTATTTTGGATAATGCTTGAGTCAAATATTGAAAATATAAATCATAAATAACTTTTAAGTTGTTGTGTTTAGAAATGTAAAAACCATATAAATAGATTTATGTGGAAAAGTACTTTCATAAAAATATACATATATCATTTTCTGATAAATATTTTTATAAAAATAAGAAATCAAAGTTATGCTTTGAAGACCATGTCGCTGTCTAAAATGACTTGAATTACCAGTATGGAAGGAGTACTAAATATCATCTATGTTGCTCATACAGTTATGGGCATTGAATACGATGACACGCGGATACACCATGTTGGCAGAAAAAAAATCTACTTTATCACGAGATTTTAGGCATCAAGGTGATAAAAAACAATGGATTATCGTGTTTGAAGCCTAAGCAAAGAAAGAATGTTTTGGGCCCAATGTGCCAAAATGGGTCTAGCCGAATTCCCAAACCGGCTAGGCTAGGTTCTTTGTAGCCTATTTGGCAGACCTTCCTAGCCCCGAGGTTAGCCGATTTCAAGATTCGGCTAAGTCATTTTTCTAGTTAGAGACCGGTTCAAGTCCAACTCGATCTCGGCTCATGTTTTGACCTGGGAAACTTGCAAAATACGTCTTGGATATGTTTTCTAGTAGGATAAGACTAACCCCTCTATATATATCGGAGGGCCATGGCTGATTGAGAAATCCAACATCAAATCGTAAAAAAAAATAATCTACTACCTTTTTACCTAACTTTTCCAACCCCTACTGTTTGACACATTTCCTGAGGAGATTTAGTGGCGTTCTAGGTGGCCTTACCGATTCTAGGACAACCTCGATGTGCATCTCCTCAATGACTCTTCCTGGGAGGTGTTCTTGAGCTTTTCAGGTGAAAAACAGGCTTCAAATCGGCTCTACCGACCGATTGGTCAGTCTTGCTGATCTTAGTGTTTACTCGCTGCGTGATAGGCCATGTGAAACTTAGGGCATACTACCCTTTAGCTGGTGTGTGATCCGATTCGGCATCAACATACTCTTAACGACTCCGCTGGGAAAGAATATCAATCTATTATCAACATGTTTAATGACAACGAGGAGGGTGATCCCATGGATCCATTGAATCCTAACAACATCATCCATCCTACAATAATTAATCAATTCACAGAGGAACTTCGCAAGCTGGTGGAGGAGAAGAACACTGCTAACATACAAAGCCACTCTTGCAAGTTACTTGATGGATCGGCGAATGAAAGCCCTATGTTTTGTCTTAGTAATTGAGACAACTAGTGGACTAACCTTTGGCTAAGTGTTTGATTAAGCTAGGTTAGGTCTAGACCAAGATGGAGAGCAAGGCTTGAAAATAGATGAAGGGTGATCAATCGAAATGGAGGAAGCTCTCACTTTGAAAATAATTAAGAAAGAGAAAAAAATCCAAGTTATGAAGGCAAAGGTATAAACATGGATTTTTTTTACCAGTGAAGACGTAATAGAGTGTGTGATCGAATTTAGAATAGATAGCCGTATTATTGAGAGAGAAACTCTAAAGTCGACTAGGTCATCTATATGCACTAATCACATCTAGTTAGGTATGAAATGCACATGCGATGCTCTATGTTTGGTTTTGGTAATTGAGTGACAACCAGTAGACTAACCTTTTGCTAAGTGATGATTAAGTTAGTTTAAGTCCACATCAAAGTTGTGAGTAAGGCTTGGAGATGAATGAATGGTAGTCAATCCATATGGAACAAGCTCACACTCCAAAATAACTAGAAAACAATAAATAAAATAAATAAAATTCATTATTTTCTAAATATAATCAAGATTATTTAGTTTGTTACAAATTTAAAGAGTGGAAATGTGGTTTATAAAAATATTCAAGTTAATGGAAGTGTGTTTGTTGCATTTAGGTTATATGTTTAGTTTATCTTGTGTGAATTTTGCTGTACTTGGAAATCGTCCTGTTTAGATCTTTGGAATTGAATTCATTCTGATAATTACAATTTATGCATAGATTAATTAAGTTAATATAGTTATATATGAAATATATTTGTATATTTATTGTTAGACATATAAGGGACATACTTATATGTTGTATTTCTATTGTAAGGAAGTGAGTTGAAGTGTGTGCTATAAGTTGAAGAATAGAATTATAGCATAGTGATCTATAAAATCTATTTCTATCTCCCACCTTATGAATTTGAGATAGACTTATTTGTGAGCTTGAGAATGTTACTTAATGTTAAATTTCAAGCCAAATAGCCTAATCCATTATGCATATTTTAATTCCTTTGAAATGAAGGATCCAAATGGCCCCTTAATGTTTCTTCTATGGTTTTCAATTAAAGGGAAAGTTTTTATTGTGTTCTTTATTTAAAAAAATAAAAAGAATCATTTCCCTTTAATTCTTCTCCGATTCTCAATTCTGGTCCGCTCTCTGCTTTCCCAGGGGCCCAGTTGTCAAGCCAGCGGCAGCCCAGCCCCCTTTCCCTTGAGTCCCTGCCGAGTCGGGCCTAGCTGTTGGCGTCCTCTTCACTTCCTTCCCCAACTCGTAGGCACGACAAGACAGGGGAAAGGGAGGGGCCGATCTCGATCCCGCGCCGTCTTTGATCGGAGCCTCGTGCGTACAGTACTATGGAACTAGGGATCGTGTCAGCGCTGCCTCCAAACTCCATCCACTACCAGAGAGCTCTACAGTGAGAACGGTGAAGCCAGAGTCCAGCGTAACCTGCTCTACTACACCGCAAGTCCCAGATCTCGGTTGAACAAGACGACACACCTGAGCACCCGTGACGCGTTCCCGCTCCCACCCCTGCCCTCCCATGGCGAAGGGCGTCGGCGGCGGGGAGCCCATACCGCTGTCGCGGTTCGGCGCGCTGGTGGCCCAGCTGGAGTCCGTGGTGGCATCGGCCCGGCAGAAGACCCCCGACGCGCTGCTCTGCTTCGACCTCCTCTCCGAGCTCTCCTCCGCCATCGAGGAGGCCCCCAAGGTCCGCCACACTGCCTCCTGGAGCGCAGATCTCTCCCGTTAGGGCAATGCGCGCGCCTGCACCACTGCACGTCTGCTGTTGTCGTTGTCTCTGTGCGGGTTCCCTTACCATGGTTATAGTCTTGCTCTGCCGTGATCTTATCGAAATGGCAGCTCTTTGTTTTGTGCTAAACGGTAGTGATGTCCAGTCTAGCAACTTGCTTTGTGCATGCGGTTGCATTTAGCTGGTCGCTCCTAGTTTTGTACTAAGAGGTATTGATATCCAGTCTAACAACTTGCTCTTGCTCTCTTCGGGTGTGTGGGTGTGTTTGGTTCGTGGAATCATATGAGATGTTGCATCATGAGTTCATTCCATGAACTTTGGTGGAATCTGTGAGAACACTATAATGGGAATAGTGGAAGCCTCAATTCATTTCATTCATCAATACAAGTATATATATGTTACACATGGCTGGTCGTTTCAGCTTCTAAGTGTTTCATATTCTAATAGAATCAACCCATTCCTCATGCATATACTAATTATTATTGGCTTGTGAGGTGAGGAATGAGGTAGTGATGGATCAACCCATTCATTCCACAAACCAAACAAAAAAAGTGAGGAGTGAGAAAAAGATAGGAAAAAGGCATGCTAAATGATCTGCACCGATCTGAGTTATTATTGGATGTCAGACTGAGTAATAATGATGTTGAATTGTGTGTTTTCATGGTGCTATGCAGGAGACCATACAACTTTGGCAAAGGAAATGTGAGGATGCTCTCCAATCCTTGCTCGTCCTTGGGGCTCGGCGCCCAGTTCGGCGCTTGGCGTCATCAGCGATGGGCCGGATTATTGAGAAAGGCGATGTGATATCTGTATACTCAAGGGCAAGTAACTTGCAGGGGTGGTTGGTCGATGTGAAAAGGGCGGAGGCCATTGCATGTGCAGGTTAGGAATTGAAATTTATCTTTCTAGATTTCACCATCTGTTTAGAATTCATCTATTCAGCATTATATTAACGACAAAGTGAAATTGTATTGGATCAATCAACTGATCTTCCAAAATGTGCATTAACAATGCACTCCTACAATGTATCAGGTTGTGGTTGGTCAGTCATGGACAACCCAGGCTTAATCCATTGCGGAAGTAAATATGTATTTCCCAACATATTTGCTTGTACAGCTAATGAGTCCACAGCTTCCAGAATGCCTCGAAGCTGTGAGCACTTCAGCTCAACTTGCTTATTGAATGAGCAGAGAAGTAAATATGTTGGGAAGTACAAGGGAAAAATTGATTGGTAGTTGTTGCTTTTGAAAGTAACTCTTTCTCAAAAAGGTTACAACTTACTTTGGTCTTCACAACCAAGCACTCACTTGATCATCACAATCAAGAACTTACTAACTTGACAAGCTATGTTGCTTACTACTATCACATCTAAGCTTCACAATAGCTTGATCTTCACAACCAAGGCCTACTACTAACTTGACCACACACTACATTTCTATCTAGCTCACATAGCTTCAACTTCTGTTACACAACCTTAAGGGTGCTGCCACTTTTATAGTCTTGTAGTCGGGTTGCTACAGTGACCGACGTGCTACAATGACTCAACTAACAACTAGTTAGTACTACAAACTTCAAAGCTACTGTCTTCATGTAGCTCTCTTATCCAGGGGCCATCTAGGCCTATACAAGCATGTTTAACACTAATATGCCCATATGACAAGATTAATCCTAACACAAATATGCATGAATTTGTTGTACCCTTTGGCCCTTCATTGTACGGGCCTTATTGAGAACCTTCAACAATGGAGATCAGTGCATGTCCTGAGCTGTCCTTGTGGAAATAACTTCCGACTTAGTAAGTTCATAACTCTTTTTTGAATTAGGCATTGACAAACTCAGAGGCAGAGGTCACATTTGGTTCCTCTCAACTCGCTATTGTCAGAGTGAAAGATTAGGAAATGATAAAATGGGTCAGAGATGTGAAGACAGAAAGTGTGTTCAATTGATTGCTTTTAGCTGCCAAGGCTTAAGGTTATTCAGTATGGAATTGGGTTTTGACTGGTACATGAGAGTCCTAAGGATACTTGAACTTATAAATTCCCTTTGTCTCGTGTTAAGGTTTTGGCAAGCCCTGGACTGAACCAAGTCTGGGGTATAAGCTTTTTATAGTTACCATTTACAATCCCTAGCCAAGTATAGCAAACCAATTTTGCTAACATGTAAAAACTCCTCAAAAGATGTTCATGAAAATTGCAATAAACGTAATCTTATGTGCAGCATCAGAGTGATTAGCTTAGTTGTTTTTATAATCTCTTCTTTTTCTAATAATTTAACAGCACTTGATAATTTCCAAACAGGTGCGGCACAATGTCTGGGGGAAATTTACCGTTTATTTGGACGCAAGATTACTGCCGGGCTGATTGAGACATCAAGCATTGTAGCTAAACTCATGAAGTATCATGAGGTTGTATGCTTTCCCTGTGATTCTGTTAGTGTTCTTTATTTACTCATTCTTGTGTCTTCTTTAGTAAATCTAACTATTCACAATTCTTTGTATGTATTTTTTTTTCAAAATTTGTTTTGGAATACTTCATTTTGGTTTAGATATGGAAAATCTTTATTTGAGTATCAAGAAACGATGATGACTATAAGCCGGCAAATTGCTGCAATAGTGTACCTTTCGATTTCTTGTTAGATGCTTTTTTTTCCTAATCTCTAAGAATCTCTGATGCTCTTGAACTATTGCTTGTTGACATCTGCCTTCTCCATTTTGGTGTTTCGTGGGTCCAATTCATTTTCTATCAATAAGGGTATGTTTGGTTGCATGCATTAGCCTATATCCCGATGTGTGCAGTGCAATGTACGCGTGTTTGGTTCAATGCAGTGGCTTTTATGCAGGCTTGCACATTGCTCAAAGCAGGTCCAGTGCAACATTAGCTAGTACGGAAGATTTGGTCGTATCAGGCAATGCAGAATTGGACATGCTGATGGACCACACAAAAATGAAATCTTCTCACTTCCCCACATCTACCAGAACATGAGATATCTACTAGAACATGGAGATGACTACATAGTCTACATGCAACACAATATAAGCTACTAAACACAACCTTACCAAGTTCAGCTCACCTGTGCAGTACAACAAAAAACCAAGACATCGTATACATTTATGCTGGCTTGAGTTGTGCTGTATATCACACCCTAAAAGGAATTCTGACAGTGTTCTCAAACAAATTTGTCAGGACTTTGTGAGACAAGATGCTCTTCTCTTGCTTGAGAATGCATTGGAAGGCTCTGGTGGTGGTGTTGCTGCTGCAGCTTATCAGGAGGCTTTCCGTATCATCATGCGAGGAGGTGTAAGTGATAAATCATTCATTGTCAGAGTAGCGGCAGCACGGTGCTTGAAGGCATTTGCTAATATTGGTGGGCCTGCGTTGGGGATGGCTGAATTCGATTCTTCCATGTCTTATTGTGTGAAGGTATTGTTTATTTACCTTCTTTCTCATGTTTAATGTGGCTTAGCTAGCTGAAAAGCATATGCTGAATCTGTTACTTTTATTGACGTTTTATCACAGGGTTTGGAAGATAGTGTATCTTCAGTTAGAGATTCATTTGCCGAAGCACTTGGTGCCATACTTGCTCTTTCAGTGAACCCAGATGCCCAGGTATATAATTCTCACATTTTTCTTAACCATTTTCCTTTTACGATTTAGATACCAGCTTATTTGATAGGTGAAGAAAGGCGGGAAAAAACAAACTGCTTCTGCAAAGAAAATTGAAGATGGTGTACAGAAGCATTTGATTGTGCCATTTGTCAAAGGTGAAACAAAATTCTGTCCTCCTTGTGTATAGTTCAATACATCTAATTACATGAATGGCTGCTCCTGTAACTCAACTCAAATGCTGCAATTTTCTATAGTTTAACCTTTTTTCAGAAAGGAAACTAATGTCAGAGTATTTTGAAAGAGAGATAGGGAGATGTCTGGTTGGACTGATTTCAGAATTTTGGAACTGCCTTTTATTGGACAAAAAGGTTGACAATTTGTTGTATAATAAGATTTTTTTCCCTATGACATCAGTTAGTTATTTGGTTTCTTATTTGTTTGTTAGTTAATAGGTTATTATTTAGATTGATTGTACCTGTGTTTCTTAGGAGTGTTCCTCTATATAAGATTGACTAATGTAATCACTATTCTCAAGCAAGACTAAACCAGAGGGAGAGACATGCTCCTGATTTTTTTCCTAAAGAAGAGTAGCTTGGATTTGAACACAGCCAGTTACTGGGGTTTCATTGATCCCTGGAGTTCATTACTCTACTGTTGCACCACAAGAAGCTTTGGTTCTCAAGAAAGAAAGTAGAAGGTTAACATCAGCCTTAGAGAAGATTGGAACCTGGGCCTTGTTTTCTCTTACTTCTATGTGTTCTCTAATGTTTAGAGTCTATGTGTTATGTTACCCCTTGAATGATGTTACAAACTTCTGTATAGGGACTGTTCCTTCATTGCTCAAGTTAGCTTCGATGTCTATGAAATATCCGTTCTTATATGCATTGAGCCTATTGTTTCTTGATTTCAAATTGCAGCAAATGGAGCTAATGCAAAGAAACTCCGGATTGGTTTGGCTTTATCATGGGTGTTCTTTCTGCATGTAAGTTTTATTAAGAAATTGTTTCAAAAAAAGTTCTATTAAGAAATAGAGGAGCTAATATTGGAAGTATGAAAGAGAATAAGAGCAAAAGTCTGAAAAAACAAATTAATTAGTAACATGGGACATGTTAAGGGCACAAAGTGAGCTATTTGATGGTATAAATGCAAGCCAAGTGCTGGTTTTGTTCATTGCATAATAAACTCTTTTATGTTTCGAACTTTTGATATTTGTCTAGATTAGTTAGTTTGGCTTGCTTTTATGATGTTTCACATTTCATTTTGCTCCTTTATTTACAATGGTTTTGTCACAGATGATTCATATGAAGTATGGCACCCCAGATAGCGAACTTCAAAACTATGCCATACAAGCAATGGAAATTCTCCAAGGGAATGATTCCCCTGATCCACATGCACTGGTATCCTCTTCTGTTGCTCTAAGATTTCTTAATCCATGAACTGTTATCCTTTTCTTGGTTTGAAACTTTGAATGAATTATGCACAAAGTCACCTGAGCAACAACATTTTTCACAGTAGAAGAGCATGGTGGAAATAACACTTTAACGCCTCTGGCACTAGTATTGGATAGGCAAATTTAGTTTATTGAGGAGAAAATATATCAGAACGAGGAAGGAAATTTTATGGCATGACAATTCCACAAGGTTAAGAATCGTGCTATGCGTTCAAAGGGTTTTTATGACTCGTGTATGACTGCACTGAACCCAACAATCACAGGCCTCATTAGCACCTCATGTGGCCCAAGGCAAAAGACAGATGTTTATTCATACATGGGGTTGGACACAGTGGTTGTATGTCTTATTATTTTTTAGAATTTGAGGTTTCTGATTGCTCATTATGTAAATACTAGGCATGTGTTCTGTATGTTCTTCGAGTTGGTGTCGCGGATCAGATGACTGAGCCGACGCAACGTGAATTTTTGGTATTTCTGGGAAGAAAGGTATGGCAGATTCCTTTTAGTCATATACTGTTAAGAAATATTTGAGGTTACTACTTTACATATGCAGTTCTGGTACAGCTGGAGTCTTCGAACTACACAGCTCCAATGAGAGTGGCAACACTACGCATTTTGTCTTACCTGTTGAGAAGCGTGGGTGAGGTATTTGCAGTTACAGAACTCTAGTACTCTGTTTGGTGTTTTCACTGTTTATGGCAACCTCCATTAGAAAGAACCTGTCCAATTACTGTGTGTAAGGAGCACAATGGGTAACAATGTGACATGGGCAGCTGAAGTCGAGGACCTTGATTGGTGGGTCCCAACATTGTATGCACACAGTGGGTTTTGGGAGGGAGGGAGGATCGGATATAATTCTTACTTACCTCCAAATACACTGTACACTTCTTTAAGTAATAATTACTTGAGTAATCCAAACCAAATCTTAGATCTATATATGATCCATTTTGGGGCCTCATTGGAAGTATATTGAAGTAGGAATAGGATTCCAAGGTATTTCATTGGGAGATTGCCTAGAAGACAGTTCAGCATGTTTGCAATTCTCTTTATCCTCCTGTGTATACCAAAAAACATAGACTTCGCTCTTGTGGAAGTTTATTTTGAGACCAGTCTCCACTCAAAACAATAAAGAAGTTTCAGATTTCTGAGAGCTGCAATTCCCATCTATCATCATCAATGTATCATCATCAGCGTATTGGGAATGAGAAATCCCCCCTTGGATAGGGCCTGGAAGAATGCCAACTATGCGTCCATGATGTACAGCTTTCTCCAACATCACACTGAGGGCATCAGCATCTAAGTTGAAAAGCAGAGGGGAGAGAGGTGGAATGCATTCATGATGTTCAGCATGTCTTTGGCCTTTGAAGATTTTGAAAAAAGGGCTTCTGCTACCATTAACATTGATGCAGACTTTACCCCCCGTAACAGTGTCCATTATGATGTTTATCCAAGTTTCAGGGAAACCTTTACCCCTCATGACCTCTTCTAGGAAGTCCATCTTACCTTGTCGTATGCTTTCTCTAGTCAATCTTCAGGATCACACCTTGTTTCCTGTTTGATTTTAGTTCGTGAATGACCTCATGTAACACTACCACTCCTTCAAGGATGTTTATGCCTTTAATGAACCTGGTTTGGTGTTGTCCAATCACCCCCCCTAGCACACTTAGATAACCTATTAGTCTTCTTTGGTAAAGATCTTGAAATGCACAATTGCACATTCAACAAACAGATGGGTGATACTGCTTAATCAAATTGGCCTCCTTGACCTTAGGGACCAAAGTAATTACTCAATAGTTTGAATGGTACTGTCTAGAGAGCCTCCATGAAAATCCCTGAACATATTCATCAAATCCTCTTTAACAAGTTCGCTGAAATGTTGGAAGAAAGATACGCCAAACTCATTTGGTCCTGGGGCTGTGTCCCTCTTCATCTCCATGACCGCCTCTTTCACCTCTTCATAATTGAAAGGTTCTGTCAGAAAGCTTTTCTCTAGTAGGGAAAGGTAGGAGTGGTCTCGTCAAAAGGTTGGCGCCAAGTGTAGGTTGAAGTGTTTATTAGGGCCAAAAATATCTTTATAGAAGGAAACCACATGGTCCACTATCTCCTGCTGGTCCCTTATCAACCCTTGTTCATTGGCATAAAGATGGAAGAATTTTGAGTTAGAATCTCCTTTGATGGTCCAGTTCTTTCCAACCCTTTGTTGCCAATAGATCTCTTCCATTTGATAGACCGTCTCTAGCCCAATTTCCTATTCCTGTCTTCGTTACCACTCAAGGCCTGAAACCTCCTTGGTTTCAGCAAGTTTGTTAAAATTATCAAACTGCTCGAGTAGGATCTGTTTTCTCTTTTTCTGTTCTCCCCTGGGCCCTGGGCCATATGGGCCATTGTGGACTAGAAGTCTAGAACTATGTACAAGTATATATACTATATGGAATATGTATATGTATTACTACACTTGACATTATGTTCACTCTGGAAATGTTCAAATTCTTTCTGGTCAACATTTTTACTAATGCTATGAATACATGGTATGTACTATCCTGCAGGTTCCAGCTGAATTCAAGGATGTACTTGATAACACAGTTGTTGCAGCATTATCTCATTCTTCTGCTCATGTATGTTGTGCACACAATTTCTGTTATAGCACATGCTGTTGAATCATTATACTTGTTCAGCAAATACATGCTATATCAGTTTAAATAAGCATCATAGGTATATACTATTGAATTGTGCCTTTTCTACTTGTAGGGGGTAGGCTAAATTAACCATTTACTCCCTTATTTTTTGTTTGATTTGATTTTTTTTTGACAACATGTTTCAAAGGATGGAATATACCCAAAGACTTAGCCTTAGATAGGAGTGCTTGGAAAACAGCTATTCATGTGCCTGAACCTTGATTGCTTCTGCTGGGTTTCAACTCTAGTCTACCCCAACTTGTTTGGGACTTAAAGGCTTTGTTGTTGTTGTTGTTGTTTGATTTGATTGAATAAGTGACACTTGTACACATACCTAGGCAATTATTTTTTTAACATTATGATCAAATTGCTCCCTTTTGTACAGCACATAAAACACATTCTATAATAGGCAGTGCATGATGAGAAGTTCAATTTCCTGGCTGAGAACATGCCACCACAGTACTAGGAAGTGGTCATGTAATAATATTGGCGATCTAGTTGTTTGAGTGAGGTGGGGGTATTGGTGTGTGTTTTGTAATGGCTTCTCTACTTTTTTCTTCTTAATTTAAGGATATGCAGCTTTCCGGCATGTTCAAGAAAAAAGCATGCCACCGCCAATACTAGGAAGTCAATTTTCCAATGATGTTGGTTGGTGAGGTGTGTTGGCAAAGACACAGGGAATTTGGGAATTTTCTGTATTACTTAGCCACCATAACCATGGCTGCTCTTTTTTTTTTAAGTTAAACCTTCATTGCATCATAAACATGTTACAGATATGGGGATCTTGTTACCCCAATCATTGTTTTCTAGCACATGCTTGATATTACAAGTTGGATGATGAGCAAGTGCCTGGCAAGAAAAAAGACATGAATTTGGGAGGCTTGCTCGTCTTGCCTTTTTAGCAAGGCTATCAACTATCTTATTTGTCTCTCTATTGATTTTGATTACTGTGTAGTTTCTTGCTTGTTCATATAGAGAACCAGAGGTCTGCTTTTACAGCTAGAAAGTAAAACAAACTTGCAACAACTAAGTAGAGATAATATGCTAAAGTAAAGATACTATGCCATGACATAAGCACTAACTACTACTACTTATCCTAAACATGGAGCCCCAAAATATCAAATCTTTCAATTCTTCCCTAAGCCTTGTGTGGTGCCTTTGGAGTGATTTGAACCATCCCAATTCTGGCGCGAAGCTCCTGGAACTTGACCCGTCCAAGTGACTTGGTTAGGAAGTCCGCAAGTTGATCCTGGGTGTTGATGTAGTTGGCCCTGGCACTCCCTTCATCCAAGCAGCCCCTGGTGAAATGGTACTTGACCTTGATGTGCTTGCTGCGCTCATGGAAGACGGGGCAGACTTGCTGTCCACTCAGAGCTTGACTGCCTCGGCGTCTTTTCCAAGTAGATCACCCAGCAGCCGAGCCAGCCAGAGCGCTTGTGTGGCGGTGGAGGTGGCAGCGATGTACTCTGCTTCATAGTTGGACATTGCCAACACCTGCTGCTTGACCGATTGCCAGCTGATCAAGCATTTGCCAAGGAAGAACACAGAGCCGCTTGTGCTCTTGCTCGTGTTGATGTCGCCATCGTGGTCGCTGTTGCTGTAGCCGATGAAATGCACCGCGCCGGGACACCTTGGGTAGTGCAAACCATAGTCGAACGTACCCGCGATGTAGCGTAGGATCCTTTTGACGGCCTGCTGATGCTCCACTGTTGGCTGCTGCATTAACCGGTTGACGTAGCCGACGGCGAACGCCAAGTCTGGTCGGGTGTGGACGAGATAGCGCAGGCTGCAGACGCTTTGGATCCCTACGGCGGAGGCGTCTCCAAACTTGACAGCCGCGCACGCCGCAGTCTAGGTCGGAGAAGATCTCCCGCCGCCTTGTCATGTGGTGTGTAGCGCCACTGTCGAGGTTGGTACCAATTGTTGGCAAAGACACAGGTATTTGGGAATTTTCTGTATTACTTATCCACCATAACCATGGCTGCTTCTTGGTTCATATATAGAACCAGAGGTCTGCTTTTACAGCTAGGAAGTAAAACAAACTTGCAACAACTAAAGTAGAGATAAGATGCTAAAGTAAAGATAAGATGCCATGACATAGGCACTAACTACTACTCCCTCCATCCCGCCAAAGGGCGCCTAGCTCAAACGGTTAGGTGACCCAGCGGCACTCCTTAGGTCCTGGGTTCGACTCCCGTGGGAGCGAATTTCAGGCTGAGGTTAAAAAAATCCCCTCGTCCGTCCCCATAACCAAAGCACTGGGGGGGCACTGGCCCAATTCTCACTTGGGCGACGGAAAATCACCATGTAAGGGTGGGGGCGGGGGTTCGGGGGTTTTCTCGGCCGGGTGAGAAGGTCCTTCTTCTTATTTGAAATGCTGCGGGGGCAGTCTTAACCCCCCGGTCGAGTTTTACTCCCTTCATTCTAAATTAAAAGTCATTCCAAGAATCTTGGAGAGTCAAAGCATCTCAAGTTTGACCGAAATTATATAAAGAATTACAAAGATTTATGACATCAAATAGATATACATGAAGAACCTAATGATACTTAGTTAGTATCATAAATGTTATTATCGTATATCGTATAAATTTGGTTAAACTTGAGATGCTTTGACTGTCCAAGATTCTTGGAATGACTTATAATTTGGGATGGAGGGAGTACTACTTAATCTAAACATGGAGCTCCAAAATATCAAGAACACTAGGCTTAATCTTTCAAGGTGCTGGGTTGGGCTAGGCCTGCAGGGGCAAATATGGAAATGTGTATTGAAAACTGTGCTTTGAAAAGTATTTGCAAACAGCATTTTGGTGAAGCTTGTGAAATGTACAAAAATGGAGGGAGTAATTTCATAGGCAATATGAAAAACTTGATTAATTGCCATGCTGTAATCTACATTCAATACATTTTATTCTTTGAATGGCGATGAAATACTTAATACTCCCTTCAGCCACAAGTGTCGTGTACTTGTGTTGAAGATGCATGGGCTAAAAAATATTACGCTGATGACCTATTTCTATTATAATATATCTGTACCTGATAAAAATATAATATAATTTAAGTGTCTTAGACAAATCTGGGCATGCCATTTTCTATTGGCCATTTAACTACCCATAAAGAAGTTACTGGTCAAATTAAAATATATGTCTCCATGTACTAGGAGGGCACCTGTTTCAACTGGTGGGAGCAATAAATTGCCGATGATGACAAGCTTATACAAGTAAACCCTTGCATTTGGTATTCTGATTGCATTACATAGTGTACAACTGTACAACCCTGTTCCCTGTAGAGAAAACCCATAGTTTAGCACCCACTAGATCACAGTTTATATGTCTTAAAGCTCGTTTCATGATACCTTTTGTTTCCCAGTTCCTACATAGAAACACTTGCTGTGCACCTGATCTTATTGGGTGCTGAGGCATACTGAATACTTGATATGGCTGGATTGGCGAGTAGCAATAGATGGGAATGGCAATGATAAACTGAACTTGTCCTCCCTCTGGAGGCTCTGAATTTCTTTGGTTTATTGTTGTTTAATCTCAATTGTTCTGTCTGTCTTATACATATAGAGCTGACCCTAACAAGTAACAAACTTGCTAACAAAATGCTAACCAAATCAATCCAAAACAAAATCTTGAAACAAACTCTGAACAAAGTCTCCTAGCTACTAGTGGAGGCCCGATCCTTCTTGCGCTGGTACTTCTTCCCCGAGAAGGCGTCCACATCATGCTACTTCGCCTTTCATTATTTCCTGTAGCGTTTGTTTGGTGAGTAGCAATAGATAGGAATGGCAACGATAAACTGAACTTGTCCTCCCTCTGGAGGCTCTGAGTTTCTTTGGTTTATCCTTGTTTATTTAATCTCAATTGTTCTGTCTGTCTTATACATATAGAGCTGACCCTGTTGGTCCCTTGACTCCCTGCACAGGTGAGCAATCAGCTCACCCAGCTCACTCACACACACTACGGCTAGAGGTACAGCACACACACAGCCGAGCAGCAGCTTTGCAGCTCTGAAACTGGCTTCAGCTGAACTGAATTTTGCATTGCACTTGGGTGTAGTATATATACAACTACATGTACCTCTATCAGGTACAATAAGGTATGGTGAGTATACCAACTACCTACTCTAAGGTACAAGGCTTAGCTCAGCCATACTCTACACTACATGGCTGATGCAAGCCACTACAACTAAGGCCTATTGCCTTACTGCTACAGCAGCAGCAGCGAGTGGACAGCCAGGGCTGACCAGCTCCATCTAATCTGCAGCAAAGAGAGATTTGGGGAGCAGCAGATTATGTCTTACAGGCCCTAACAAGTAACAAACTTGCTAACAAAATGCTAACCAAATCAATCCAAAACAAAATCTTGAAACAAACTCTGAACAAACTCTCCTAGCCACTAGTGGACGCCCGATCCTTCTTGCGCTGGTACTTCTTCCCCGAGAAGGCGTCCACAACATGCTACTTCGCCTTTCATTATTATCCGTTTGTTTCATGCTAATGACTTGACAGTTGGATGCATTGGTAATCATTTTATTGCAGCCTGATGTTGATGTCCCTAGGCTGCTCACATCGTGCATTTCATTTCTTGAAATGGAAACATGAAACTTGCTCCATGTCACATTCTATGTTTAATTATGTTATCATTTTGTTGTATGAAGCTGGTGAATGACCTTGATATCTACTTTTGACCATGTATAGGTCCGTGTGGAGGCAGCTTTAACATTGCGTGCTTTAGCAGAGGTTGATCCTACTTGTGTAGGTGGTTTAGTTTCATATGGTCTTACAACATTGCAAGCTCTTAGAGAGACTGTATCATTTGATAAGGTATATTACTTCCTATCAGTGACATGACTATCCCTATCATGGCTAATGTCTACTTTGGTAAATCTTTGCTGTGTTGAAGCTTGTATTGGGGATATATCGAGGTGCAACATGATTGGATATATTTTGCAGAATTTATTAAATTACTCATGGATCTTAAAATGGCCGAAGTTAATCACTGCTAGTCAGTGGCTGAGCTTGGCTAGAATTACAGAGAGGATCAAACGAAATTAAACATTCTTTGTTTACATATTTTTTGTCAAGTGGTTTTATTTGCTTTCTTAAGAAATTGGGAGGGTACATAGCTCCTTTTGGCCTAACTTATGCTTCGCCTCTGACGCTAGAACAACCTTTTGCAGTTGAAGCTAGAAGAGTTAAAATTCTTAGTAACTGCATCTCTTATGGTGCTTTACAATCATGTGTGTTGTCTCCAGAATAGGAAAATCAGTGCATGATATGTACTGTCCATACAGTAGTACCACCCAAGCTGTGTACAGTAGTGGCGGTGGGTGTATGTGAACTACCATTGTATTTTTATTTTTCTTCCTAATGCAATGATGTGCAGGTCTTCTGCATATTCAAGGAAAAAAAACTGTGTGCAGTACATGCAGAAATTATAGACAGGATCTTTTACTGTGAAAAAATTGGAATTTGGCTCTCATGGCAAGTGGGTTTCGCCCGAATGCCATCAAAGTTGTGGGCTTTGCTCCAATGCCCTTATGAAAGGAGTCCCTCTAAAATGCCATAATCGAGATTCCAGCACTCCTTTATTTTTTTCATCCAAATAACAGGACCTGGAATGACGTTTTTGCCCCTGTTCACCTCATCTCTCATCTGTTCATGCCATTTGTGTGGTTCGTGCCCGTTCCGTCCGTGTATGGGGCTCTCGACGACCTGATGCCGGTGCCACCGCTCCAATTGTCGATGGCCCAAACCCGCTCTGGACACCCAGACCAAGTTCCGTCCGCCCCAAGGCCCTAACCGGCCCCAAGTTCCATACCGAACGAGACGAATGACACGGACATGTGAGAGACGGGGATGAAGGTAAAATCACAAGGGCAAAAATTACATTCTAATTTATTTGGATGAAAATAATTAATTAAGATTAAGAGTGCTGAAATATCAAAATGGCATTTCAGAGACTCATTTCATAAGGGTATTTGGGCGAAGCCTACAACTTTGATGGCATTCGGGCGAAGCCTACCTGCCATGAGGGCAAACTTCCAATTTTCTCCTTGGACTGTTGAAGGGCGGGCCTGGTGCAAGCGGTAGAGTCTTACCGCCTGTGACCAGAAGGTCCCGGGTTTGAGTCGCGGTCTCCTCGCATTGCACAGGCGAGGGTAAGGTTTGCCACTGACACCCTTCTCCAGACCCCGCACAGAGCGGGAGCTCTCTGCACTGGGTACGCCCTTTTTTTACTGTTGTCTTGCTCTTAGGTTACTCCGTTGGAGGTCATTGCAAAAGTTCATTGGCCTAGTTCTGTACTTACAATTCCTATGTGGATGAACTGGCACTAGCTGTGTAGCATGTTGTTCAGTGCTTAATTGGTGGTATTGTCAATGGCTTTAGGTTAATCTTTCATATCAATTGTTTGCCCTCTTCTTTCTGTATTTACTATAACATTTTTCATACAGTTTGCTTTAACCTTTATCTGCTTGACAAATTTGGTTGTAATAACAGGGCAAAAGTTTGAACCTTGAGCTCGAATCACTACATGGACAGGCCACTGTGTTAGCTGCTCTTGTTGCAATATCGCCAAAGTTGCTTCTTGGTTATCCTGCGAGGTTCGCCTCACTATACTTCAACATGCTTTCCTTGTTGTTTATCCCTATTAATAAATTTTAAACATTTCCATCCCATAAACTTGAAACATTTGCATTCCAGACATGGCTACAATCTAATCTGACATCTTGGATACTTCCAGAGTTTGCGAAATGCTAAGAAAATTTATTAAAATGATGCTGGCAGCCTAGCAGAACCAGTCAAAGATAGAATTTGCACATACTCGAAAATATATGTTTGGCCAAATATTATATCCCAGAATCATGTACTCCTGGCACATTTTGCATGTTGAATATTATGCAGGTTGCCCAAGTCTGTACTTGAATTATCCAAAAAAATGCTGAATGGTTTCAGTCGAAATCCAGTGGCTGCTATTGCAGAGCGTGAAACCGGTTGGTTGCTATTAGCTTCTCTTCTAGCATCCATGCCAAAAGAGGTATTAGGGATACTTTGTAATATGTAAAATAGGTATAGATATTTGATAGCGATGGGAGTGATGGGTCTTTCTATTATACATGACCATGTATGCAGGAGCTGGAAGACCAGGTGTTTGATGTTCTTTTGCTATGGGCTGGTCCTTTTACTGGAAATCCTGAATCTTACCTTCGTCATATACAGGATTGGGCATCAGAATTGCGGTGAGTTTTATTGAGTGCATGCGGACTGCACGAGCACCATTGTATGTTTTGCTCTACTAATTCATAGGGTATTAGCCCTCATTTTTTTCTTGAGCAATATCATTTTTTATCTTCTTGGATGCCCATACTAATGATCTAGTTCCTTGATGCTACTTTGTTTTACCCCTATAGTACATAATCAGCTTAAACATTAGGCAGTTGCACAAGGCAAATAGAATGATCACACAAGACAAAATTGCATTGGACAGCATCATATATGGCTCATTCCAACAATTTTAGTTTTCGTCCAATTGATGGTATTCACTAATGTTTTAGTATATATATATATATATATATATATCTGCTGCAGGGTTCTGTCAGTTGCAATTGAGGCGCTTACTGCCTTCATAAGAAGTTTTGTTTATCCAATTATCACAACTGCTGATGGTGGAATCTTGCTTAATCCTGTACTGGCCTACCTCGGCGGGTGTGTAAACATTTACTGATGCATTTCTATTCTGATGTGTATCATTTATGGTGCTTAATTCGGAAACTATATCGTTCAGAGCTCTATCCCTCATATCTTCGTTGAGATCTAAACAAGTGCCCAATGTAAGGTCTGCGCTGGACCTACTCACAACTAGAACATTGATGGCATATCGGTCCCTTTCGAATCCAGTGGTATATAAAACCGAGCACCAGCAGATGCTTCAGCTATGCTCAAGTCCATTCAGGTTTGTGCACCTCTTTGATTGCACTGCTATTGTCTTTAGACTTGACACAATATTATGCTTTGACTTGTTGAAATTATTAAATATATTGAATACTACACCTTTTTACCGTCAATAAATTTTGAAACCCTCTTGTGATTACTTTGAAAAACAATTCTATAGTCTAGGCCACTGAACTTGTTTTTGTGCAATCCAGATGCCTAGTCTTGTTACTTTTGAGTCTGCCTACTACTCAGAAACTGTAGTTAGGTCCATTGATGACATGATTACAAATTTGTGAAACCTGGACTTTTAGTTAAAACTTGACATCATTAAGAATGATTGCCAATATTATATGAGGAAACTCTTGCTGAAATAGCAAGATCCTAGTTTTCTTCCTGAAGGAAGCATGAAATTTTGAAATTTCATTCAACCACTGGCATTGGTACACACAAGAAAGTGCACTTGCAACTACAAAAGAACCACCAAAAGGCACCAGGCTGTAAACCAAACTCCTGCCTGTGTGACATGCTATCTACTTACACGAGGATGTGGTAAACTTCTAGTGGTGCTAGCAGGCTATGCATAAATCACTCGTGTGTTGCTGGTGTAACTTTCATTGATGATTTTGATGAACAAGACATAATATTTGAGATTTGCTTGCCCTCTAAAATGCCAAGATGATTGAATGTTAAAACCTATTTGAAAATGTTTTAGAATGCATCACACAGTTTTAGAACACACTGCACATGATCACTAGCATGGTTCTTCATCCAGACATTCAAGGGTGATGCTGTGGCCAACGAGAGTAAAAGGGCCACAAAGCTGCTTTCGCAAACTCGCAATCCCCATCCCTGTTGCTGCTGAAGGCCAGGCCTTTGCTGAAGCGCGGGTTTTTGCCGGCATATCTGCTGGATCACTATATGATGTGTTGACCTGCACTGGGCAATGCTGGAAGGAGGCCAGGTGGCACTGGGAGGGAAGTAAGGAGGTGCGGGATGCGGAACTGCGGGAGAATGGGTGGGATTTTCGAAAAAGTAGTGGTGACGTATCACTCAATTTGTTGAACTGCAAGCATCGGTGGTGGAGCTGACTTGTCATTCTGTGTGGCTCTAGGAAGCTCCAGGCTTTAGGTTTACCGTTTATTCGAATGCCTTGGGCCAGGTGGGCTGATGGCAAGGCTCATAATTCAAGGAGGCTCGCTTTGGCACTACAGCCAGCATGCAGTCATGCACAGCAGCAGCCAATTATGTGTCTGATATCCCTTGTACAGATGCAGCTGCAGCAGTATGGATTTCCCTCTATGGCGTCGCTCTGGCGTCTGTCACATAGGTTGGGCATCTAGGTTGTGCCCAGGTGCTGCATCTCACATTACTGCCTTAACAACTGTTAGCAGTAGCTCACTTGTATTCCAGCGCAATGTACAAGAAGTGTCAATATATGCAAAGAAACCCTGTACAGTGGATAAATTACTACCCAGTACACATATATCTAATGACAAGCATGATTACTATCATATTTGATGGAATTGCATGTAAGTTGTATCTATTCACAAACTTAATATGCATGTAAAATTGTGATTAGTTGTATTGCACTTGCACGCTTACTAATTGCATCTTTGTGTTTGAATTACCAATCTGCATGATTGCTTCTTTTGATAGATCTTTTTCATGAGTGCAACTTTTTCATGAGTTTAATCTTTAGAAATTTCCAGCTACTATAACTTCCTCATCCCACTCTGGAATGTTGTATTATCTGCCTTTTCTTCTGTGTACTTAAAATGATGGTCGATGTAATTAGTGATCCTTCTGGATGGGAAGAAAGCTCATGCTTGAAGTTTTTGTTGGATAAGAGAGATGCTTCGCTGGGTCCATGGATACCTGGAAGGTATTTGTCAAATATAATTTATTTTGTTTTTCTCTAACCGGCAGGAGAGCTGCCTGTCATTAGATTAAGAAGGAAAACAATACAAAAATTCTCTGGACTTCTTTTGTATATTTTGATGGAGTTTGGCTACAGGGATTCATTTGAGGATGAATTACGTGCTTTTGATGGTGGTGCTGATGGGTTTCTACCGTGTGTGTGGGATGATGAAATCAGCAACTTCCCTCAGGTAGCTGTCTTCTTATATTTAGCCCGAGAAGCAGTACCCTCACCCCTGGCCAATTCTGAACTAGCGTGAACGGGTTCTAGAACAAGCTATTTAGCCTTAGTGACTAAGACTGTTGTTGTGCATGTAAGGTTTTTTCCTCATAAATTTTCCCTTCTCTAAATTGCACTTCAAACCCCCTTCAGAATCGCGAAATGGGAGTACAGTACCATTCTGAAAAAGAACAGTATTATTTTCTTAACTGCATTTTTCTTGCAAGAGCATAGTAAGCCAAAATTGACTTGCTAATACTGCAAAGAAGTATGGTGGTTAGAAAACAACATCCTCTCTTAGGATGACAAGCGAGCCCTAGGAATATTTTTCATTTTGATAGATATTGTATTATTCCAACTTGCACAATCTTTGTGTTGTTAATTGGAATTTTGATTAACTGTTAGTGCCATTTAGTATAGTTAAACTATCGTTATGCTTCCATGTGACTTTTGCTAGTCAGGTGCAGATTCTGAATAATATATGGTTCTTTTTCTTATATGAAGCCAGAGTCAATTCGCAAAATGCTTGTCAACCAGATGCTTCTCTGTTATGGTTCCATATTTGCATGTCAGGTGCAATCTTAACTTCTGGGATCCACTCATGTTTTTATTAGAAGATTATGCCTCTGCTGGATAGTTTTCTACAATTATATTTTAACACATCCATTAACAGGAAAACACTGTCAAGATAAGCCTCTTGAACAATCTTGACCAGTGCCTGAAGTCTGGGAAGAAGTACCTGTGGTTTAAGTTTCTCGTTACAAATGCATGTGTTGCTCTATTGTCAGGGTTAAAGGTATTTATCACATTTTTATGTATTCTGACCTCTAACAATATCATCTATTCCCTTAGTTACTAATACTGTACATGCTATGTTCAAGGAATTCATCACTTTACGTGGTGCTCAATCATTGCCAATTGATATATTAAGTATGATCCAGTCCATATTCAAGGTAATGTGATACACAATATTTGACAGCTTATAATTTCAATTCCTACCACCCATCTTCAAATTTAACATGGTTGTTGCTTTAGGCCATTTTAGTAGAGCCTGAAATTTCTACAGCACAGCGGCGAGCAGCATGCGAGGGTCTCGGTTTATTAGCACGAGTTGGGAATGATATCTTTACAGCAAGGATGGTTTGTTCCTTTATTTTGTTTTCATATTTTTTGAGATTATTTTCACTGTAAACATTTAATTCCCTTACATATCCATCTCTCTGGTACGATATACAACATTGATCTTTTACTTTTGAATTTTGTTCTCAAGATTGAAGATTCCATAAAAAACCATGTTCTGTTTGCCTGTTTTCTAGTTTGATTGCTGGTTTACTACTATCTCAATTCTCAACAAGTGATTTTGTTAAGTACATTGCATCCATAGTGTTTGAGTTCATGTTTTGAGCCCCCCCCCAAACACACACACACCAAATGTTCAAATCCTGGCATCTATCCCTGATACCGCCTTTACATGAAACTGGGCAGTTCATTCTTGTCGAAATGGTTCAAATGTTCAAGTGTAGGGGTGGTCCACACAGAAAGCAGACTCTAAGTGCTGGCTGTGTGTTTTCTGTTTCCTGATTAAACCTCCGCTTTTCTCTGCTTCTTAAAACTATGGCCTATAACATGCAGTAAACTAAAGGAAGTTTAAAATTTGCATTGTTATGCACAATTTTATACCAGTGCATGTTCTGTAGAGTGAAAAATTCTCAAAACTATAATTCTGTTTTCTAGCATGTTCTATAGAGTAGAAATTCTCGAGATTGTAATCTAGTTTTCTAGCACTAAATTCTTTCTTGTCTCAATTTATTAATTTGAGCAAACCTTGTATGCACGCTTTATATATCAATACAATTATGCCTCATACTTTATCTGGATCAGATTTTACATTTGTTTTCTCCCCTGATAGACTTCCCAGTTTCTTCTTGCTAGTGATGGAAGTAATTTTTCGTTTGCTAGGCTCGCTCTCTTCTTGGAGAGCTGGTAACAGCAACAGATCTGGGCTATACAACTTCGGTTGCATTTTCACTGGGTTGCATCCATCGAAGGTAAGTTTCGTATCTGAAGATATTTCTTTGTATTAATTCTGAATCTCAAAATACCATTTAATAATCTCCATGGGGTTGGGTGTATACGTGCCCATTTGTTTCAGTTTTATAATTCATTGTTGACATACTGTTTCCATTGTTGACTTTGAGAATTGTGTCATACTGTTCATATAGGAGGAATAGATGATTGTATTCCTGAGCCTCGTGAGCAAATTATATATGAGTACATTGCTTGGGGGGCAAGAAGCCTTCCTTCAAGATAAGACAAGGTAGGAGGGAATACATGATCCCCAGCCATCTGCCACTGGGTTCTTTGACTAGTGGCAACAAGCCGGTAGCACTCTTGACAAAAGAACCAAGAGAGGATTCAATTCATTGGTCATGCTAGGAGCTTGGATGCTTTGGAAGGAGAGAAATGATATTGTGTTCAATGGTGCCTCGCCTAGGATAGAGCGGGTGCTTCTCCTTGCACAAGAAGCCGCTCTCTGGAGGTTGGCAGGCACTAAAGGCATTAGTGAACTGGTCGCTGCTCGACCTGGGGTTTAGCAGCGCCTGTTGAGGGAGGTCGACTTTTTACATTTTTAACAGGCGCGTATGTAACCTAGAGATGGTGTGTAAAGTTGGTGTGTGTGCTGTTGTATGGCTATATAAGCCTTTTATCCCCTTTCTTAATGCAATGATACGCAGCTCTCCTGCGTATTCCAGAAAAAAAAATATACATTCCCCCCCCTCCCCCATCCCCCACCCCCAACACACACACCCAAACCCGCGCGCGCGTGCGGCAGTCACAGTGCATACTGTGAGGCTGGAGAAGAGGCGAGGCCGAGTAGCCGTGGTCGACGTAGCCAATGTCAAGGTTGTTGCACATGAAGCAATGGGCGCAAAAAGAGGCGCCATGAAGGGGGCGATACCAAAGTCGATGCAGGACATAGACGAAAACAACAATGCAATCGAGGCAGGAAGGGTCGTTATAGTCAAGCCGCCATGGATGAAGCATACGCTGGGGTTGCTAGGCTCAGGAACGCCTCGTGACCGATGGCATGCACCAGTGTCATACTAGGTAGAGCCCCAACCATACGCCAACATCTAAGGGAACAGTAGAGAGGGCCTTGGCGACGGTTGCAGTGCACAGAACGGCGGGGGTAAAAGGTGGTGAGGGCAAGCCTGCTGTTGTCGTAGTAGACGAAGCAGGTCGAAAACAGACGACGACACTGGTGATATGGTTGTGCTAGATGAAGGTGATGCAGTGTGGGGGGAGTAGACGTTGGTTTTATGGTTGTGCTGGACGAAGGTGATGCAGTGTGGGGGGAGTAGACGCTCCTGCTTGGAGGCGAGCCGTGCCCAAAGTCATCGTTCGGACGCAAGGTATGCCAGTCGTCGATGCACAGGGGATGATGATGTAGATGCAGCGGCGAGTGCCATCATGGACAGAGGCATGCCTGTGAGGGCGTGTCTCATTCGGTGGCTATCAGTGCAGTGGTGCTGTGACCTGAGGAGGCGACATAGCAATATTGGCCCTATTGTTCAGAGAGGATGCACATAGTACTTGACTAACATCACGGGAGCCAGGAGGATCGCGCACAATGGGCTGATCGGATCGAGCACGTGCGAGATGGGACAATGATGGAAGAAGTCGGTGGAGGCGTCCTCATTTGTGGTGGCGATGATGAACAAACGATGAACATGGTAGTTAGTATCATGACACATATCATAGGATCATATGCTTCTACGATACTACTGGAGTTGAGCGACACGAATTGGTGTGTGGATCGTTTTTGGATAGAGTCGTTGTGGGATTGGGATACAGAGGGCAGTATTGCTTGAATCACGACACAATTACGATATCATGCGTCTCCAGTGCTAGTCGGCGACGAGTCCTCCACATCCGCACAAGCACAACATGCTAGCCGAGCATAGTTGTCAACGAGTCCTCCACACCTGCATGAGTGCGACATGCTAGCCGAGCCAACATCCTGGTGACCTTCAGAGTGAATTCTTTCAAATGATGATACAATCAAAACAGCAGCACCAAAATCCTTTCTTCATGGAGACCTTCATCATTGCTGCCTGGCATATTTGGAAGCAGAGAAACAACTTCATATTCGATAGAGGCCGGCCTTCTTTCTCTTCTTGGAAAAACCTCTTATGTGAAGAGGCCAAACTTCAGGCTTTGAGAATGAGAGATGATAAAAGTGTAGCTTTTCTCCTCTGGTTAGATCTCCTCTCTTAGGCCTCCCTGGTTTTTGGCCTGCGGTTCCCTTCCCGCCGTGGCTACCTCAGCCCCCTGGCTGGTTGGTTTGTTGTATTTCTCTATCTTTTGTACAGGTTTTAGTTTTTATTTAATATATTCCTACAGTGGGGGCTTCCCCTGCTGTATTTCCGTTCCAAAAAAAAAAACAACAACTGCAGGCCATGGATGAAATCAGGAGAGATGTGAGAGGAAAAGAAACACAAGGAAAAGATGGCGAGAAGGAAGGAACAGATAAGAATGACGTCGGTGGACTAAAAAAAGTCTTCTCTGATGCCTGCTTTGTAGTACTTGAACTAAGTAGCGGGGCACATGTCGCTATTAGACTTGACTGGTCAGTTAGTCAGTGACGTCAATATTGTTTTTTGCGGTATATGGAATTAGTATTATTATTTTTTATGGAATGTCTATGTATAATTACTAAATGTATTTTTTTTATATATAAGTATTAAAACAATTAAAAAACAAAATTCCATAGTTATCCCAATACTACGATAAGATCCTACGATCCGTATCTAGGATCCCGATCCTAACAACCTTGGTGATGAAGCCGAGAAGCAACACTAGGAAGCGTTCCCTCGGCATTGCGTCATTGCGTGCTCGTCCTTGCCACGTGGGCGAAGGGTAGAGGCTGGTGTTGTTGATGTTGATGTCGGAATAGATACATGCGAGGTCGACGGGCGGTTGGCGATTCAACCCCGATCAGTGATGGGGTAAACTGAACAGGGATACAGGCAACAACAAAGGCGACACACAGCCCACCGTGTGGGCAAAACAAACTGGGATACAAGCAACAACAAAGGCGACACGCACTCACCAGGACGCCGGGCGGTGTGGGTTGACGGTGGATCCTGCCTGGCCATGGCGCGGGGAAGGTCCCAGTCTGTGACAATGTAGGAGGGTGTTAGAACGCATGGTCGAGACACACCTTGGCCTATCAGGAGGGTGCCGGAGCGCATAGTTGGGACGCGCCCTAGCCTATCTGCCACCACAGCGGTGCAGGGGACGAGGCGTTGTCTTGCAGCATGGAGGAGGCCAGTGGTGCGAGGAGGTTGGCGATCTGCTACTGGGACCCACACTAGAACGACGACGAGGGCGGCAGATCAATAGGATATGCCCCTAAACAAGAGCGCTGCCCTCGGCGGAGATCGATCTCCTCGGGGTCACGTGGTGCGGAAGCGTTGTCTTGTTCCCTAGATCGGAACTTGAACTCGTGATATGAGTAATAGAGTTGGTGGAATAGATGATTGTATTGCTGAGCCTCATGAGCAGATTATATAGAAGTACATTGGTTAGGGGGCAAAGGGCCCCCCTTAGAGATAAGGCAAGCTGGGGTTGCATGATGCTAATCTACCATATTTGGAGATATCCCAATATAAAGGGTCTTTTGGTTTGGCTTTTGGAAACTGCTTTTGCTTCCAAAAAGCCAAAAGCCAATCAAAGGAGTGGAAACCAGAAGTTGCTTTTTTTTTCTCGAATGCGCAGGAGAGCTGTGCATCTTTGTATTATAGGGAGGAAAAAAGGATCGGCCCCTTACATGAACACCACCACCTCACTCCGGGCCGAGCCATGAGGGGTTGAATGAAACAAAAAGTTTGCACTGATAACAAAAATCAGAAGGATGAGGCCTGACCAAAAATCCTTGCAAACTAGAATTAACTAGCCCAAGCCGTGACTTAGATCTAGAGTCCGTAGGCCTCGTGCACCCACGAGACACCACAACTCTCCTCATCTTTGAAAGCCTGCATGAGGCTAGAAATCCTCGATGGAGCTCCATCGAAGACACAAGCATTGCGATGCTTCCAAAGGATCCATGCCCCCAGAATAATGACCATGTTTAGCCCCTTCTTTTCCTTCGGCAGGTTCTTAGTAGCTTTGCGCCACCAATCAGCGAAGGAGATTTCATGAGAGTTGGGTACTCGATTTTGTAGTCCCAACGTGGATAGAATCCAGTACCAGAAATCCCGTGCCAACACACAGGTGGTCAGGAGATACTGGATGTTCTCCTCCTCCTGGTCGCAAAATGGACAATCACTGGGATGTGGAAGTCCTCTCCTCGCGAGTCTGTCCGCCGTCCAACACGTATTCCTTATTGCCAACCAAAGGAAAAGTTTGCATTTCGCTGGAGCCCATGATCTCCAAACTCGACGCCAAGGCTCCAAAGTAATAGAACCGTTCAAAAGGCCCGATAAGAAGACTTTGATGAAAAATGACCTGATGCTTCTAGCCTCCAAAGGTGGACATCTGCATCCTGGGTTAGTATTGGTAGTACAGTTTTGAAAGCACCTTGGACCCTTCTTTTGGCTTTTGGCTTTCTGCTTTTTGAATTGGTGAAAATAGAGAGCTGTTTCACAATTGTTTCAAGGAAAATAGAGATAAGAGATAAATTTTATACTTGTTTGAACCAAACAGCTTACAACTTTTCCACAACCCACAACCTACAACAGCTTTTCAACATCCCACAACTCACAACAACTTTTCCAGAAGCCACAGCTCAACCAAACACACCCTATGAGTTGACATGGCTTGACATTCTAATCTACTTTCTTGGGAATGGAGTCGAGTATATCTAACACACATGACAAATTTGTACCAAGTTTCTTGTTTCATTTTTAAGCTTGACAAAGTAAGTATTGAGTTGTATGCATCTACCAATTCAACCCAAAAGCTTAAGCTGATGGGGAGAGGTGGACAATTCACTTATACTTCAACCCCCCTCCCACCTCTCACATGGAGGCTCCCTGACGTGGAATAGGAGTGAGCAACATTTATTTTATTTAATTACGCTAGCCAGGATTTGAACTGGAGACCTTTGTTTTCGCCACCATACTGAGAATTAGGGGAACACCTCACACCCATAATGTGGGGTGGCTTTCATATATATTGTCAAGGTACAACTTGGAGTACAAGTCACATGATATACATGTGTTACATATCTCTAATAGAAGTCTGGAGAATCTTATGTTTTCTTACTTTTTTCCCTATTAGTCTTTGCTATTGCTTTTATGGAGAAGCAAAAGAAATTTTCATCTATATGAAAATGAGTTTTGTTTGCATTGATGACTATTCTCATTTAGTATCAAAGTGAATTATCTAGTTCAATGTATTTCCACTTGAGCGGTATGGTTTTCTTTAGTTTGATACCTTTATATAACAAACAATGTTTTATCCCACCATTTACTGCTAGGCTTATATATTGTAGTGGTGGGAGTATGTTTGGCACATTGAGGTTGTTGCAGTAATGTACCTTTTGTGGATGCAGTGCTGGAGGAATGGCATTATCTACTCTGGTTACCCCAACTGTGAGCTCACTATCTCATTTGAGTAAAAGCTCTAATTTCAATCTGCAGTTGTGGTCACTGCATGCTCTTCTTTTAACCATTGAAGCTGCTGGCTTGTCTTATGTCTCCCAAGTTCAGGTACCCCTGAAATAAGTTTTACAACATTTTTTTTGAGAGTAATAAGTTTTATAGCCACTAGTTTTCTAGATACATGCTTTGCAATGGCTTGGCATTTATAAACATGCGGAAACAATAGCGGTATACTGTTCATTCTTTTGTTCTCTTTTGGATCTGGTACTGTTCAAATTCTTGCCCATGTGACTACCCTGTAAATAAGGATGGATACGGATGTCCAGATATCCGAAAGATCCAATATCCGTATCCGTTTTAGCGTAAATATGGATATCCGTGTTTGTATTCGATTGAAATATGGATGTTAAATGGATGTATCCGTATTTGTTTTTGAAGAATATTCTCTATCTGATTGCACATCCATATCCGACAAAAATGTGAAATATCTGATATTATCCGAATCTGTGAAGTACAAATTATTTTGAAACCATCTAAATCTTATAATTATGACTAATTAATCATTGTCAATGATAATAATTTTAATATAACAGATGATATGTACAATTATTTAAAGGTTATCTATGGCTAATGTAATTTAAATATTATTAACGACATATAAATCTAAAGTTCAATTAATTTTAATATGGCTAATAATATTAATTAGTATTTTATTTTATTTATATACTTCTAGATTTATTTTTATTTATCTGAATTTAGTAATTAGTATATATTATCTATTATTTTCTTATATCTTATATGTATTTAATTATATAGCTACAAATTAAATTCCTTCATCCATAATGATTTTATTATACACAAAACTATCGATATAACAAAATACATGTTGTCTTCAGAAGCAATAGATATCCGAATTCGAGATATCCGTTTTGCATTAGTATCCGACAATATCCGTATTCGAATTAAAATGTGGTAAATAGTGGTATCTGAATCCATATCCGTCTGAATCCGATCCGAATCCATCCCTACCTGTAAAGAGCTAGATAGTCATCCTATTTTATATTTCCTTAATTTCGTATCAATTGTTGCTCTATTTTATTTCCTTTTTATCTGTGGAAGTTGCTCTATATTCTTTTACTAAGGGGGATACCTACTTAATCAAAGGCATCCTTCCATGAAACTAAAAGTGGCACACATCTTTTGTGCTCTGCCAGCATACAGATTCGAAAGCTCATTATCTTATTATTACGTTCTTGATGTCACTTTTCGTTTCTTATTTGTGTGGTAAGCATGCAATATCATGTGCGGTAAGCATGCAATATCATGTGCTTGTATTGTTGATTGCAAATTTGTAATGGATGCTTTAATATCTGGTTGCACAGGGGACACTTTTCCTTGCTATGGAGATTCTCCTCTTGGAAGAAAATGGATATGTGGATCTTCGACAGGGAATTGGTCATCTTATCAATGCAATAGTTGCTGTTCTTGGTCCAGAGCTTGCTCCTGGTAGTACATTCTTTTCGCGTTGCAAGGTTAGACTATTCTTACCTATGTATCACTGATACTCAAGTAAGGTTGATGTACCCGTATCTATATGACAGGATACGGCGATACAGCATCATATGATCTAATACGGGGTATTCGGAGAAGTATAAAAAAATACAGCTTAAAAGTAAAAGATTTAATTCGTGATATGCTGCTGATACTGTGTGACACTTCATCCTGGGCCTGCAACTCCTTATTTTAATGCCCAGCCCAGCAACACTGGTCCGTATAAAGCTTCCACTGTAAAACACCATCAGGCTCAGCAGCTTAAATGTGTGATCAAAGGATGGTTTCGAATGGTACTGATAATGGGTAGGGTTTGGTTCTTCTATAAGATCCCCTTGTACACTCCAGACCAGGTCTTAAATACCATGTCCACAGTCGTCAACAGAACACTAAGCACTGTTTAAAATCTGAAATTAACAGTGAAGTCGATCGACCGAAGCCCTGAACTATGACTTTCTCTGCTTGCCCAGAATACTAAAGCCTGACAAAACTTAAGCTGAAACTGATAGAGTGAATGATTCAGAGTTCCTGACAACATGACCCTCCTCTCCTCTAATCTCCTGCTCCGCACTTCCCCTTGTTGGATCACATTATCGCCTGGAGAGCTCACCCCTGGGAGTGGGCATCGCCCTAGGATCCAAAGCCAAAGGGAGCCACCAGGCAATGTTGAACTTGTGAACTCCCTCTGGATTTTTATCTTATCCTTGTCCTGTGTTTTGCTGTAGAGCATAGAGATGACAAGTGGAAACTCAAAAATCTGGTGTGCAAGCTGACGATGTGCTATCTAGTGCTACTGATTTTCAATCGGAATGTGTTTTCCCTCTATGTTCTAGCCTTCCGAACTTGAACTAAAATGTGTTGTGTTATGTTGTTCTGACATGATATATTTATATTGGGGGGGTGTAAAATATATATTTGTAGCCGTGTCGCTCCATCACCGTACCTCTATCCATATCAGTGTTTCATGTATCGATGAACAAAGATTTTTACTCTAACCCCTATTCCTATTCCAGAAAGAAAAGACCCAACAAACTATTCGAAAGGATCCTTCTACCTTTACTTGATTACTGACGCTTAGCATTCTAGCCCTCATATTGTAACTGGATAATACATGTCATTATGCCATTGAGTGGCTGTAGTTTTGGGGATTATATATCGTATGTATTAGGTAGTAAAGGTTGCTATTTTCATATTCTTAAGCCCTCGTATTCAAGAATAAAATGACCAGCACTTAACAATGAGGGAGTATTCTCTGTTTTTATTCTCTGTTTTTGATAGACATGAACTGCAATCTTTCAACTATTTTTGTCTCTAAAGAAGCTGGTTTGTGTAATTTATTTATTTATTTATTCCAATTTCAGTCTGTCATTGCAGAGATAAGTTCCTCAAATGAAATGGCTACGCTTTTAGAGTAAGTTTTGACATAAAGAACTTGTATTGTTATTAACAAGCATCTGGTTAGTATAGGCCAAATTAATAAGTAATCTTGAATGCATTTTCTGTAATATTTTACATGAAATTTGACAATCTGCAGATCGGTTAGATTTGCCCAGCAGCTTGTTCTTTTTGCTCCTCAAGCTGTTCCTGTGCACTTGCATGTTCAAGGTCTTATCCCAACGCTTTACTCAAGACAGGTAGATACTGCTGCTATTTACTAATTCTAGTTTTTCCCCTCGAATACGCAGGAGAGCTGCATATCATTTCTTTAAAGTAGGAGAAAATACTTATTAACATCTCCCCTCTCACAGTGTTATATAATGTTTTTTTCTACAGCCAAGTCTTAGGTATTTAGCAGTGTCGACACTGCGTGATCTGATTGAAAGGGATCCGGTAAGGCCTGCAAACCGAGATACTTCATTTCAGTATTGTATTTCAGTTCAAATGCCTTGCAGTTGTTTCTATCAGCCTTATGTTGCTCACATCTACAAAGTCAAGCTCAGAGCAATATCTGTTCCATCTCGTTAATTTCTATTTTTATGATCTTTCGTAATGACTACGAGTTTGATGGGGTGTTATTAAGTGTAAAAATTATAGACAATTTTCTTCTGCAGTTAAGTAAACATGTTTTTTTTTCATAACAACTTATACCATTTTGGATGCCAGTAAATTTATGTACAATTCTAGTGTGTATTGAAAAAGAATTGAGTTTTTAAGTTAATTTCAAATCTGATTGCATCATCATATTCTTAAAGTTGGGGTCATCTGGTTTACATGGTCTAAGTGTTCGAAACCTGAAAATTTTGTTGAAACTGTGTTTTCTTATGATGCGACGACTGGACGTTGCTATGATTGCTGCAACATTCTTTCATCGTTTCATGCAACATATGCGAACACCATTTGCAAGAAATCAAGGCAATGTTTGCAACAAAATTTTCAACTTTACAACATTTAGCCCATTTGCCCCAGATATCCTTTATCTGACTATATTTTTTCTTTTTTAGATGTTTTTTATGCAATTGTAATTTGCTTATCTTATATTGCTGAATCTTCTCTACCAGGCTGCAATGATTGACGAGAATAATGAAGAGAATCTGTTCAGTATGCTTGATGAGGAGACAGATTCTGAGTATGTTGTTCTATTTGTGTATATGATGTATCCTACAGTCACAAATACAAGTTCATTAAGATATATACACGGTCTCCATATGATACTTTTACTCGCAATATCTATATATAATGAAAGTATATTTTGTAATGAATTTAGTAATTCCAATCATTTGTGAGCTATCTCTGTAAAACTTTAGTTGTTGTGTTGTTGATAGTCAAAGATAAAAAAAGGTTCTTAGAATTAACCAAGATGGACTTATGTTTGTGACCGGTGGAAGTATGTGTATTTGCCTTGTGGTGAACTGTATTTATGAGGTCTTATATTTGCCTTGTGCCCACTCAGTATTATGTGTCATTTGAAATGTTCTGTTTACATATATGGATGTCTTATGTCAAACCTGCAACTTATCTTTCTGTTTTTCAGATATATCATTATGATTCGTTGGACATAAGTTTACCGCCATTACTTTATCTGTTTTAAAATTTAACTTAACTCAATTGACCAATTCAATGTACTTTGTAAAAACTTATGATGCTAATCACTAAATATTCAACTGTGCAGAATAGCGATGTTGGTTCGTGCAACTATTATTCGCTTATTGTATACATCATGTCCACTACATCCATCACGGTGGCTGGCAGTTTTACGAAATATTGTATGTTTACTTCATATTTTACTTTGTTGATTTGTTTTTTCCTTTATGTATTATATTAAGAAAAAGGAGAGTCTAAGATTCAACAAGCCCGTTATGGCAAATGACCTACAATAGGTTTATACCGAAAACAAGAAACAAATGCAACCAGCAACCTAGATGAACCACAATAGTGCCAAAAAATGCTACCAAGATTGTTCTCCAGACATGCACCAGAACCTGGCCTCATAGTGGTTCATCCTTAATGTCCTGTATAATAGCATAGATATTTGGAGAACTCCCCCTCAAAAACACATCTGTTTCTATTTCCTTTATGTATCTCGTAGTGATTTCCATGTGTTTTTTCCTGCCAGAGGCAGAGATACAGGATACCAATAATGAGAGAGGAATGCAATTATGACTTCTAACAAGTAGATTTATGAAGACAATGATATGTGAAAGTGTAGCCATGTTCCTATTTGTTTTTTCATGCCAATTTATTTATTTACATTGACACTTGATAATCTATAAACGGTCTGTTAACTATGATCGAAGAAAGGTTTTTGGAATATGTACCTATTGTGACCATTTTTTCATTTATGCCTTAATTAAAAACATTTCTTTTGAATTCTTAAATCACAGTATTTTGTGTGGTTTGGTGACTTTTGTAGATTAAATAATGCGTTTAGTATGCATGATGATAAGACTTTTCTTAGTTTTTTCATTATATCAATTCATGATTAGTGCCAGGGAAATTTTGCTTTGGAGTTGCTAAACTGGGTCTTTTTTATGTCACTTAGGTTCTTGCTACGTCAATTAGAAGAAACACAGGTGAAGTTCTGTCAAGTTTTGGACATAATCCCCCTGATAGCACATCTGAGAATGATGTGTACTATGGAGAAGATGAAGACAACATGATTTCCAGCTCAAAGCAGGAGCAAGTCCACTGGGCTGGTTCTATATCCAGCCAGTTTCCTCCAAGGAATAAGCACCTCAGATATCGTACCAGGGTTTTCGCTGCAGAGTATGTTTGCTTTTTTTATTTTATGTACTCTTTTTTTTCTTCTGTCAAGACCAATTTGTTATGAAGATGTCCATTAATTTCTTATTATTATTGCAAATGTTTTCCTTTTGTGTTAAAACAGATGTGTTAGCCATGTACCAATTGCAGTTGGAGCAGAACCTGCTCATTTTGACCTCTTGTTGGCAAGGAGCGCAATATCTGAAGGGACTTATCTGTCAAATGATTGGCTAGTGCTTAAGCTACAGGAACTGGTCTCACTTTCATATCAGGTTTTGACATAAATCAGATTGTAGATGCTGAAACTATTTGGGTGAAGATTTGTGTTAAATTTAACTAACTTATGGATGACAACTACCTTTGGGTGGCAGATAAGTACTGGGCAATTTGAAGGAATGCAACCAATAGGCGTGAAGCTTTTGTGTTTGATAATGGACAAGGTGTGCCATCTATTTTGAGATTATGGCCTGGAGATAAATAAATATTCTAGTATCTACCATGATGTCACAGCCCTACTCGGGGGAGGGAGGGGGGGCGCTGTGGCTGCTGCTGCTGACGTGGAGAAGGAGAGGGCGGCGGCTAGGGTAGGGGCAGAGAGAGGGATGGGTGGCGGCAGCTAGAGAGAGAGAGAGAGGGATAGGGGAAGAGCAATTGCTCTATTCTTGCTTAAGATCGGAATGGTTACATGACCCCTATATTTATAGTCCTTAGGGGACATGGCCTCTAAGCAATTTAGACTTGACCTCCAAGCAATCTATAGATAGAGTCCTTATAGATCTGGACTCTTTTCCTAACAAACTCTATCCTTATCCTTATCTATTCTATTCCTAATTCTAATCTATTCCGGACTCCTGGGGGAATATGGGGGTATAACCCCAGGTACCCACGGCAAGGGACATGTGCAGCACCATCAGGGGAGGTCTAGCCCACAAGATTCAAGACTTGCGGCGCATGGCACTGGTCGGCGTACTCCTCAAGGCTTTCAGAAGATATCTTGAAGATAGAGATAGATCTGATCAGATATTGTAATCCAAATAGAATACTTACCATGTAACCGACTAGGATACTTTCCTTGTAACCCTACCCCTCCAGAGTATATAAGGACGGGTAGGGGTCCCCTAGTCGGCATGGGGCATCCCACATCTCATCTCGTATTCCAGCAATACAAACCAACAGAGCACAGGACGTAGGGTTTTACGTCACATTAACGGCCTGAACTGTATAAATCTCGTGTCTTGTGTCTCTGTTACCATCTAGTTCCTAAGTACGCGCACCTCTACCAATCAATCTACCATCGTGAGTAGACCTCTCGGTGGACCGTTGAGCATCTTTTGTCGACAGTTGGCGTGTCAGGTAGGGGTGTGTGTGCTGATCCCCTAGCGAACCAGATGGACCTCAAGATCATCGCCATTCATGGCAATTTGGCTTCAGGCGGCGGCGTTCTTCACCTACATGGAGTCGTCGTCTCGAGGCCACTCACGGCAGCTCGACGTCGCTACGTAATTCGTCACGATAATTCCACCGCTTTGGCCACGCGATTCTGCATCTTGTAGCGACTCGACAGTTCGGCACAGGGATCCTGTGCACCAGGATCGCTGTCTTCAACGACCAATCAAGAAGACCGGGCGTGGGTTTAATCTACAGAACCATGCAGGCCACCAAGATTTGCATGTATTCATGCACGATGGAAAGATGTGGCCCAACAGATGGCAATCGAGGCAGATGGGGTCTGAACGGGAGGGTCGATGCCAAAGTCGATGCAGTCAAGCCGCCTGAGCGTCGATGCCAAAGTCGATGCAGTCAAGCCGCCTGAGCATCGAGGGGCGGCTGGATTTGCTAGACCAGCAACTCGTCGGGGATTAAAACACGTGTCGGTGTTGCCAATACCGGGTGTACAAGCGAGAAGGCCCCATCCAGGCATGGTTGTGCTGGACGAAGAAGCAGCAGTGCGGTAGCGGACGTGTTGGCGAGCAGGGCTCAGCGACGACGCGAGGGTGCGGCCAGCGAGCAGGGCTCAACGACGACACGAGGGGGCGGCAGGTGAGCAGGGCTTAGTGACGGCGCGGGTAGCGGCAGCTTGATGACGAAGACCCAATCTGCAGACGAAGACCTTGTGTAGAGGGGCACAACAAAGATTGCGCAGCACAATCATCGATGCACAGGGGATGGCGATGTAGATGTAATGGTGAAGTGGACACAGGTGGTGGTGCTGCGGCCCGATGAGGCGACACAACAGCAAGCCACGATGAAGTGGACACACGGGCGGCGGTGCTACGGCCCGACGAGGCGACACAACAGCAAGCCGGCAGCCCTGTTGCTCGGAGAAGATGCGCGTAAGACTCGGCGATGGACGTGCCGGAGTAGTACGCGTGAGGTCGACGGGCGGTGGGCGACTCAATCCCGATCAATGATTGGGAAAACCAAAAAGATACATCAACAGGGGATCGGGTCTACCCAGCAACGTAGCACGGCGGTGGCGGCGCCCCTGGTGACAGTGCGCCTCGGCGCGGCTCGTCCCGGCTAGCAGCACGAGCTGCCAGAGGCGGACAACACTGGGCGCACGGCGGGTCGCGGTCTCGCGGGGTAGCGTGAGGATGGCACATATTGGCCGGCCGCCACCATGGCGGCACGGTGTTGGGGTTGGGGTCGACCTGGCCCGGGCCACCACCACGGCAGCGTGGGATGGGGCGACACCCAACATCTTCCACGGCAAGCGCGGAGAGGGTGACGAAGTGGTACGGTGTCGCGAGAAGGCCCGATCTGCTGCTTGATGATGACAATGGCAGCCGGATCAATAGGATCGGGCGCCTAAACAGGGGCGCTGCCCCCGAGATCGATCTCTCCCCGGGGGTGCGCGATGCGGAAGCAGCGGCGGCTAGGGTTAGGATCTAAACCTAGGCGAATGATACCATGAAGGAGAATAGAATTGGTGGAATATTGGTTGTATTGCATTGGGCCTCATGGGCCTATTATATAGGGTACATAGGAGTAACACCCCACGTGGGTAAACAATGTGGTACTATTGCTATTTGACACTATGGATTATGATTAAGAGAGATGTTAAAAGTTCACCGTTTTTTGGCATGGTTTATATTTCTTTCAGCTACGAGTTTATTCTGATGTACAGTCTTAAATGCTATTGCAAATTTATCATAATTATTGTGTTTATTTCATTTTTATAGTTTGGCAAGGCAGTAGATCCTGAATTTCCTGGCCATATCTTGTTGGAACAATTTCAGGTGATTCTCAGATCTTCTCAATCCTTAGTTCCTTTTTTAAGAAACAGAAAGAAAATCTGCTACCTTGGTATTAGATTAAATATCTTCATGATTGTGAGAAAGAAATAGCCTGAGATTTCTTATGAATACTGATAATATCTATCTGTATAGGTACTATTTAATCATTTAAAGGAACCCTATTTTTCTGATGGTACTTATTTTTATTTTCAAAGTGCAGGCCCAACTTGTTTCTGCTGTTAGAATGGCTATAAGCACTGCTTCTGGCCCACTTCTTTTGGATGCTGGACTTGAACTCGCTACAAGGGTTTGTCTCAGAACTAAAACAAAATTCCTGATTTGCTATTATCACAGTATCCCTCCTTTTAGCCAGACTTGCACACCAAGTATTTATTATATATTGCTGCTGATACATCTTTGCTTCATAAAAAAAAAAACAGGTTATGACGAGCAGCATAATTGGTGGGGATAGAGTAGCTCTTAGTCGTTTGTTTTCTCTGATAACACGCCCATTAAGTGACATAGAGGGCCTATTTTATCCATCTTTTGCTGACTGGGTAGTGTGCAAGGTATTTGAGTTCTCCTAAATTGTCGCATTTTTTCAGTTTGCCTTGGATATCTTAGTGTCCTAAGTACCTAACCTAGGTTTTGTAACTGACAGATAAAGGTTCGCCTTCTAACTGCCCATGCAGCAGTCAAGTGTAACACCTATCAATTCTTGAGGATGAAGGAAAATGCTCCCAATGAATACCAGCAATTGGTACCTTCACTTGTAAACAGCTCAACTCTATTAGGAAAATACTGGATTCGAGCACTGAAGGATTATGTTTCTATAAGTTTTGGTTTGCACTCAAAAATCAATGTAAGACGGTCAAACGAGCCTCAACAATTCATTTTCAAGGATCATATAATCATATAATGGTTTATATTCTATCTTCTTTTACAGTACAAGCCATTCCTTGATGGGATTCAGTCATTATTAATCTCGTCCAAGGTGCAGAGGTATCTTGATGAAGTTTGGTTATTAATTCTTCAAGCAACAGCTCTTGATTCTGCGCCTGTGGAATTTGACGAGAATAAGCCCGAAAATTTACTTGAACAAACATTTATATCTGGGCATTGTATGGTCAAATTGGACAGAAGTGAATTCCAATTTCTTTGGGGGTTATCTATCCTTGAGCTGTTTCATTCATGCCAATCAGTGAAGAATAATTCTTTGAAGATCAACCTTGAATCTAGACAAGACAAAATGTTTGGGGAATTTATTGTTCACAGACTAGATAATAAAAAACCTTGTGATCAGGTCTTACCCGTGCTGTTGTCCCTCACAACAGAAGTCTTTTTCAGCAATAATTTCCTTTCAGTGGATATTTGCCAGGAACTCCTCCAGGTCAGTTTGCTTTTGCTACATTCATGTTTCCCAAATTGTAAAACTTGCTGATTCCTACTCTCTCTGTTCCAAATTATAAGCCGCTTTAACTTTTTTTTGTAGATACATAGCAAATTCGATGTACCAAAAAAGTCAAAGCAACTTATAATTTGGAATGGAGGGACTATGTAATAATCCTCCATATTAATGTATCATAGTCCATCCGTCCACAAAAAGATGTTCGTTTTGATATTGTCATGGTCTCCAATATGCAAATTTGACCATTAGTTTACATTTTAAAATTTCACATTTTATTTTCATATTTCTAATGTAAATATCAAGAGGTAGTAGTTTCTATTTATGCAAAGTTTTATAAGTTTTAAAAGTTGGACTGGATGTATGTCCAAAACAGCATATATTTGTGACTGGTGGTAGTAATGGACCATATGGCCGCCAACGTAGGGAGAGTGCGATTTGCGCCAGTACATCCTTCGTCATGCAGTTGATGAGGTAGCCTACCATTTGCTGATACTGGACAACCCAATGCTCATACATTGAATTGACGATGGTAGTCTTTTACTTGTCTTCAGCCACCACAATGACCATCGGCTCTGGCGCCTTGATGGATCCATCTAGTAATCCCACCAGCTGTCTACCCCTAATGACTGGGAGAACCTGAGCCATCCAGCGGACGAAGTTCTTGCGAGTAATCATCTTGGAGACAGGCAGTCCAAGGAAGGCAGGCACATGGCACATTGCAGGTTGATGCCATGGGACTAGGTGTGTTTTGGGAAGAAGATAGCTCTGATGACCATTGAAGGATTTGTGTAACGAGGATACCCAAACTAGAGTCCAAGGCGTGAGTGTGTGGTGTTGTAGGGGGTTTCTTTCCCCCTTTTTATTGTTCTTAATATAATGATACACAGTTCTCCTGCGTGTTCAACAAAAAAAAAAAAAAAAGGATACACAAACTCAGGTTCACCATGGTGCATGTTATATAGTGTTGTTGGGCAACAACCTACAAGATTACATGGGCTCTAGTTACAATCTATCCCTTTTACATTTATGTTTCTAGACGGTACTGGGATACGAAACCAACTAAACCTATACACCTTGATCAATATCATAGATATACATCAATGACTTCTAACAGTGCTGAGCCTTGCCCGGTTGAGGGTGTGGATTTACGTCTGGACCACCCAAGTTTAAGTCCTTGTCAAGGCAAATATGGATGCCTATTTCTTCTTAATGTTGAGCCACCTTGTGTGTTGAACAAGAGTACAGCAGGGGAGGCCCCCACTGTAAAAAAAATTTAGTAAAAGGAAAAGAAGCTGGACAAGAAACACAAAGCTATACAAGTAAACAGCGAAAAGCTAAAACAACAAGCCTAGGGGGATGTGGGCAATTCATTTATATTCCAACACTCCCCCTCTTGTGGAGGCTCTCTTAGGCCTTAGATGTGGAATAGGAGCGGCAGCAATTATATTTTATTTAATTCCACTAACCTGGATTCGAACTCGAGACCTCTGGCTCTGATACCATATTGAGTTGCATGCACCGACCAGTTCAATCCAAAAGCTTAAGCTGATACGGAGAGGTGGGCAATTCACTTATATTCCAACACTAGGAAACTAGGCTAGGGAATTTATACAAAAGAAGAAAGCAGTACGCTTAGCATCGCGGATCCTATGAGCCACCTTGTTCCTCATAGGTTTGTCAAATTTGTCTTTTTCATTGCATGGGAGATTGCTCTTTATGTTGATTTCAGGAGTGATGTTTCAAAGTTGTTTGGGTTCATGGTTTCAAAATAATTGTTCATTGAGGGTAATAAATACTTGCACATTTTCAAAATAGTTCATGTTTATTATTTCAAACTGTTTGTCAAAAGGTATTACACATTTCCCATCATTTACAGTTTCACTAGAAAAATGTAAAGGATGTAGGGTGATTAGAATAAATAATCATTTAGGTGACTTGGTGAGCATGGCCTTGTCCTGCTGTTCTTACTCAAATTCTGAGCCTTCTTAATCACTAGCCATTATCACAGGATAGTTGGACTCGGACAACTATCTTGAAAGATAGAGGGGGTCTGTGCATGGATATCTTTGATTCTCCAACTGTGACCTTTCATCGTGCTTCATGTTGATTGTTTACCATCTAGTTTTTTATAATGATATACCAAGCGAAGCTAGATGTCACGATCTGATTAAACGAAACTTTTACTTTGCTCTTGCAACCCTTAAAGATTATGCTGATTTGTCCTTCACTCCAAAAATCATTTCTAGTGACAAGATTTGTGTCAGTGCAGGCACTTACATATGCTGATTGTTCAAGTGCTCCTATCATCCTCCTATTCACCCAGGTAAGGTTATTCTGGTGATAATTACTAGCAGCTCATGTTAGATCAATCAATCATATTTCAGTTCTAACTTTTTAATAAAAGGGTAACACATTGCATGATTTTTTTTTTCTGAAAATGCTTATGCATTAAGATAGTCCACAAGGCCCAATTCTGAGCTCTGATGAGATAAATATGGTTCCAATAAAAAAAAGTTCCAAAAACTTGTGGCATGTAGCTGATTAGACAGGCGGTCACAACCACGCTGCCCAGCCAAAGGGGATCTGAGGGAGCTAGTGATGTCGCCTGCAGAGAAACTCAGGGAAGCGCCGCCGTCAGCTGGCGGGGTACTCGAGCTGAAGTTGCCCACCCGTTTGAGCAGCTGCCACACAACCTGCCGCCTAGCACCGCCACTGGCCAATGCCACCCATCCTCTAAGGATAGTCCGTCTCTAACATCAGCTTTAATACCCCTTGCCGGTGAGGAACGCCGACATGAGCACGACAACGGGATCTTGGACGATAGGAGGAATGAGGAAAGGTTGTTGGTTTTTATTTATTTATTTTTATATAAGTGCCTCCGCAATACATGCTCTGCTTATAAGCAAGAGCCGACCCTTACAAGTGGGGTCCCCACACTCACCCATATACCAACTATCAATGAACACATGTCCCCTTAAAATATCCCACACTTAGCTACTGTTCCAGCACTTCACTTCCCTCTAGTTGACGCCGATGGTGTGCCTGCAGCTGCATGTGTAGCATGCATGGCAGGCAGTGAGTGGGATAAAATGACACAATGGAAGAAAGAAGACACGCACAGTGGGAATGTATCCCAGGTGGATTGATTACTCCTGTTTTATAGCTTAGGGAAAATAGATCACTTACTCCCTTCAATCTTCTGATGTTGGAATGAGATTAACTAATGTGTACTTGTATAGTTGCGAGTATTGCTTCTCTCTTCTTTTTCTTGAAGGGCTAATAGTGTCTCTGGTTTCATTCCTTTTGCATCCATGTTAGCGATATTCAAGGATAATACAGGAACAAAGTTTTATCCATTCCATATTGCTTATTTTTAATGAGACTACTGCCTAACTTTTGTTTCACCATGAAGATTATCAGATTCTGCCCTGACAATTTTTTTGAGGTTGAAGCCTTTGTCTCCTCTGCATTAGAGTTATTGTCTCGGTATCTTGGTGTGATACTTCAATGGTAATCTTGCTGCACTGTACTTTGTTTCAAACTTTCTTTCTGCATGTGCTTCATTTCAGATTTCCTTGAGGCAATGTAGCTAGTTTCAGAACCAATTGCTGATCTTCTAGTTAGAACCTTTTGTTCCTTAAATGCAATATTGTCATTAAATTCTGTATTTGTGATCACTGCAGTAGGGGTGGGAGTTCTCAGAATCATTCAAGTAACACTTTGATTTCTGAGTTGTCTATTGCAAGTGAGACGATGGCTTGTCGGATCAAAGGAGAGGTAGTGATAGGTTATACTTCCCTTGATTATGTCTAGTGCAAATTGGCTTGAACTATATACTTTCATTCCTGGAATCTAATAGCTGGTCTCATGTAGCAGTATTTGTGGAAGCTGATGATATTAGTGGTATCCACTTCACACCAATCATTTCAACAAGTGTCAACTAATTTATGCTTGTCAAATATTATATCCTTCCTCCAAAATATCTTGCCTTTCATGAGGAAATGTTTTAGAGGTACCTTCTGTTTCTTCTCAATTTCCTTGTTATTCTTGGAACATATTCACCTGTATTGACCCACTAATATTTATGAAAAACTTTTGCCATTGTCCTTCTAAAATCTGCTGTTTTCTACCCTTGTAAAAGAATGAACCTATCTAGTTTTGTTAGTAACTAGTTGTAGTCCATTCAGTCCCTCCCTTGGTATGAAACATGCATCTTTTTTTTTTCTTAAATAGTGTGAAAATGGGCGTATCTGTGTTGCCACCCCCAGCCCCCAAAAGCCAAACAATCTGGCAAAAGGTCACTTAGAAAGCTGCAACTACTCTCTAAGCATTTGGAATATGATCCAGTTTGAACAAGTTATCTGTGCTTTACTTATAAAAAATTAATAAAAATAGCAGTATAGTAAAGGGCTATAAAATTGAATTAATCACAATTTACCTATAAGTTAACCCACAGTTGATTACGGCATGGTGTCCATTCTCCACTTCTAACACATAGACGAGCAGTGAGATGACCTGCATTAATTTATAAGGCTCCACCATTTTTAGTGTTCCTATTAAGTTGTGTACAAAAGGTTTGATTGGAACAAAACATTCAGTAAAAGGGAATGTTATTTTTGGATGGCCTCTTGACTGCATACAATTGGGTCCATCCATAAGTTGCTGCCCCATCATTACCTAGAACTCCTAATGTCTAGCAAAAGTTTAAAGTTGAAGGCTCAAAAGGGACCCATATACCTAGAAAATTGGTGGATAAAAAATTAGCTCTTATGAACATGAAACAATAACCGTTCATGAAGAATGATGATGCTTAAAGAATTGGTGCCCCCTTTTTTTGTAGAAAGAGCTGAATCAGATGGTGAGTGCACGAGTCCTAAAGATGTCTTCGGTGCTTTGGTTGGCCTAGTGGGATACTTCTATATAGAGTGTGATAAGAAGATCTCATTGCTCGAAAACAAGATTTCTGATTCCTACAAGCTGTTGACAAAGATACTACTTTTTTGCTTGGGAGAAGCCACTGCTCTTGCAAAACTTGTTCCTGAGATCGTTTATCAAAGTGAAAATGTAAGTAACAATGATGTGCTCCTTTGGGGCAGCTTCAGGCTGTGCGTACAGGTTATTCAGGGTTCACTTCGTAGTACCAACATACAGGTAGATAACTGCTTCACCTATTATTGGTACCCAGATGTCACTCTTTGCTAGTGGTTAGTTATGAAATTGTTTTCACTAAGCAGATGCACATGCTGGGTCTGCATGTACTGAGAAGCTATGCACAGAAGGAGCTAACTGAAGGTTCAGAAACAAAGATGGATTCTTTTATGATGTTGCTTATGGAATTGCTGGGAGACTTGTTTTTGGTGATGCAGACTACACTGAAGGTACTATATAGAATATATTATGAGATTGTCAAAATTTCTGCAAAATCGGGTGGTATTATCTGACAAAGTTCTTACTCCAGGAATGTTCAAACAAAGAATCTGTCAGTGTCATTGATGAATGTTTGAAACTTCTTTTCCTCTTCCACACACTAGCACAATCAAAGAGATACCAACAAGATGCTACAACTCTTCTGCTGGAGGCCTTGCTGATGATTTTCAATCTGTCCAGTGATACTGTTTCACAGGTAAATTTGATTTTTTTTTATCTAATAATGCGACAGAAAATCTACTGTTCAGCTTTATTTTGTTGATCATTTTGTACAATATTCTGTTTCAGGAGCTTGCTGAAGTGAACACCATTTCCAGAAAGTTGTTCTCTCATTTTATTCAGATTCCGTCTGTGGCTATACAGATCAAAGATATAATGCTTTCTGCACCACCTGAAAGGAGACTACAGCTTCAGGTATTGCTCCTTACTGTGTGTAGATTTTCTTTTTGAATCGAATCTGTATGTGTTGATTGGATGTGCATGTATCAATGGATACTGTTTTGTATTAAGCTTGACTTTCATGATGATCTTAAGAGTTAGTGCCATCCATACTCTGTACATTTGTTGCTGAGCTCCTATATTCATGATTCTACTTCCTTGATGCCCTGAGAGAGTCAATAATCTTGCATATATGTAGGACATGGTCCGGGCTTCAGTCAGTCAAGGCCAGATAACGGTGCCAGCGGCTATGAGTGCACACTCAGAACAGAATATCCAGGATAGTAGCAGTAAAAACCCTGGGTCCACTGCTGAAGGTTCTGATTGTGTTGCAACTCACGGGAAGAATGAAAATGAAGTAGATGATGACTGGGATGACGACTGGGACGCTTTCCAATCTCTTCCTGCAAGTGCAAATGATGGTGTTGATTCTGGAGAAATCTCTAGTAGTGTGGATATTACAGCTGGTGCTATGGAAGACATAACCTGTGTAGACAAGGAACTTGAGGAGCCCTCTGATTTGCAATTCTCTAGTACTGAACAACAGGCCAAACATGAATTACCAGGGTCATCCCACGAAGATTGTGATGAACTCGAAAGACATCCATCTGTTGATTGCAAAGAGCAATTAGCTCATAATGAGACAGCCGATGAACTGCCGCTTGTTCATGAAGACATTGATCAAGTAATTGAAGATACCAAAGTTGTCTCTGCAGAAATTCATGGGATTGAAGTGGATGTCCATGATGACATTGTTGAAGATGATTCCCCAATAAATTCAAACAATCTGTCAGATATCACAGAGGATGAGTCCAAGGGTTTGGACAATGCATCGAGGGTTGACGGCAAGTTTGTCACGGATGACAGTAGAGAAGAGCTGTCAGGTTCCTCTGATGCTGACACACCAGATTTTAGTAAGTCAGGAAATGTGATGAGCGAGAGCGGAGGAAATGACCAACTTAGGGGCTGATTGGTTCACGTACTAGTGGAGCCTAGCTCTTATCTGGGAGCCAGGTGTATGTGGGACAGGCTAAGTCTATATAGCACTGCCATGTTTGATTGCCGGTATCTACTTAGTCTGGCTTAGTGGCTAAGAAGAGATGTTATTTGGTTGCATCTATCGAGATATATTGCATTAGATAAAAAGATATAAGGTTACTACCATGATTTTTATTTTGTACACTTAAAGTTCTTATTTTATCCTGTTATTGTTCTGAAGTTTGGGAATGAAGGGAAAGTGAGGGAGAGGGAGAGAGGCTGGTGGGTGTGTGTGGGACGTGCTGACGAGTGGGGTTGGGTGGGTGTATGTGACACCTCATTGCTTGCATGTCACAGGTGTCGTGATGTTCGGTTGGACTGTTCGGGCGAACATTGCAGAACCCAGGAAGTGCAGAAAGTGATAAGCATTTTTTTTTTGAAAAATATAATTTTTTGGATTCAGATTATGCTTAGATGCTTAGGATAAATGGGTTGGCATGACCGGGTCGTGACACTCCACCTCATCGTGGCGCCTCACGGTAGTCTCATTTAACATCTCCACCGCACTCCTTCCTCTTCCCCGTCACGCAGGAGCTCATGCTTCCTCTCCCTAGTCACGCAGCAGCTCAGGTTCATTCTTGTCATCTTGTCGCACGTAGTTCCCCACTCCCGCAACCTTCCTCGCCTCCCTCGGCAACGATAGGACCGTTGTTGTAGCGTAGTAGGGTGAGTGTAGTGCGCGATATGATATATCCTAGCGTGGCAACATGGGTGCGGCATTGCAACGACGATGCAACATAGGCAGGCATGGGGTAGTAGAGCGGTGCAGCGCTATACGTGGCTACGCTAGTAAGGTGGGTGTTGGAGTTTTTGACCCTAGCAATGGAGATCAGCGTATCACATATAGGCAATTAGATGGCAATACATGAGACACAAATTTATACTTGATTCGGTATATGGTACCCTACATCTAGTTTGGAGTATATCTTATTCTCGTATGCTCGAGTTACAAGGGACTACTTATGACTAATTGTCTATGCAGTATAACCTAGAATGGTGCACCGTCCCGACAGGGGCTCTACCTCTCTTATATAATGCGTGGGGGTAAGGGTTACACGATTCCGATCGGTTTACAAACTTGCGATCCTCCTTCCTTTGGAGCAGCGAGGGCGGTGCACCTCCCCTATGCTTCCTCTGCATATCTTTCGACCGCGAGAGATGCAAGTGAAAGTTTTGCGAGGTGCTACCTCATCCTAGCTTTCAATGTTTCCAAGGTGCTGGTTGAATTTTGCTTGTATATGCAAATTCTCCTCAAATTTCTCTTGCACAGGCGCAATCGCCCAAGGTGTAGGGTTAGGTCATTGATCGAGTATGGCCTGTTGTAACACACCTGGTGTTAAGCAACCCTAAAATTTGATCATGTCATCATCATGCATGTTAATCATCCATAGTAGCTAGCCTTGCATTCACTAAAATTAATATTTACTTGCTAGTAGTGCAATGCATTTGTGTCGGATTGTGCCTAAACTCAAAAATCCTTTTAAAGGTACTTGGTGGCCTTCTATTTTTGAATTTCACTAAAATACTTGAAATTATACCCTAATAAACTTTGAGGTGTAAAGCAGGCGCTTTACACTAGTGTCAAGTATGGGGTGTGAATTCAAGTCCAAACCCTTAAAATTGGAGCCTCATATTGAATTCAAACTTGAATTTCAACACTTGTCATTTTGACTAAGTGACTGGATTTCAGCATTGGATTCAGTTTTGGGGAAACTATTAAAATGAATTTCATAAATAAACTTGTTCAAGCAATGACACCATTTTGAAGTATAACGTTTGTACTTCACAATGATGTTATTGGTTGATTTGTTTGTTCACTAATTAATTCCCCAAAAATAACAAACTTAACTGTTTTTCCTAAACCCAAACTGTTAACTAAAAGTTCAGGTTTTTTGTTTCAATCTCCCCCTCTTCTCTAGCCTAGATCTTCGAATCCAGTTAGAATTGAGAGGAGATTCTTAAAACAAAGTTGAAGATCGAAGTATGAACAACTTTTATTCTTGGAGCTCCTCGAGTTCATGTTTGGAATTGGGAGAAAAAGAGGGAAGAAGAGGCCCTGTCAGGCTGCTACAATGTGCTGTCGAAGTTGCTCACCACCGAGCTGCTTGTCGCCAGCCGCCGCCCTTGCTCGCCGCTTCGCATGCAAGTGACACGCAGCTGCTTCGCCTTGACGCTTCTCAAGCAGCTGCTGGATGCTTCGAAGGAGCTCCATCGTCCTTAAGTTGCCGAACCGGCCGCCGTGTCCTCCTCTTCCTTTTCCGCTGTCGTCGAGCTCCTCTGTTTGCCAGAAAAATCTCCGCCACCACTCCACCTCCTCACAATTCACCTCGCCCACCGCTTCGCCACCACCTCGCGCATCGCTTGAGCCAACTAGCGCCATCTCTTGCCGCCGGAATCACCTTGACGCTGTCGTCTTCCCCGGCGTCGAGCAGAGCGTAGCCATGAGCCCCTCACCGTGGCCAGCCCTCTATGGCGCACCTCCATCTTGGCCATTTCATGTTTCACTTCCTCTTGTCACCCCGTTGCTCACTGGCCTTTTGGTTTTCATAATGGAGCCCTAGATGAGCCGGAATGCCACCGTGTCCGTGATCCGCGCCGCCGCCGTCATCCTCAACGCCGACCACCTAGCTCCGCCGTGTTCCCATCTCAACCAGTAGCCATTCCGAAGTCACGGTGAGCTCCTGGTGCTAACTACGTTGTCCGTTTAACTTCTACCGGGCCACAGTAGTCGGAGCGCCGCCACGCTGGCGTGCTCTGCTTTGCCGAGCCACCGCGACCGTGGTCACATGCGTAGGTAGCTCGCGCGTGTAACACCTCTGTGTTAAGCATTGCATTTGACATCTGCATTTCATGAGCACAAGCATCATCCAAGCATTCATGAACATGAGCATATGAAAGTTCATCTCATTCTTATACATTGTCACATGAAATGTTGATTTATATATATGCTTATGCTTGCCATCATGTATGACCAATGTATGAAATGGTTGTGAGGTCATGGAAACACCTTAGACACATCTAGGATGGTAAATGGAACAATGTTTGTATTCATGACCTAGGCCAATTTTGCTTCTAAGTGTTGCTTTCATTTGAAATGCCATTTTCATGATGCTAGTTTCACCAAAGTTAAACAGTAGCTTAGATTGTTTGCATTGCTGTGTGACCTAAATAAAAGTTGTAGTACTTGACTAGGGTAACAACTTTTATTTTTGGGTCAAGGTCTAATTCAGTGCATAGCATGCTCAAAAACATCTCAGGAAGTATCAACAAAATGCTATTTTGAGACTTGCAAAATTTTCTAAGTTTGAAACGGTTTTTAGTTTCAAAGTACCTCACTTTGGAGCAATGTAGTTTGTTAACCAGTGAGAATTAGATGATGGTTCTTAAAGCAAAGTTGTAGATGGCATGTAGCTCTACAATTTTTGTTAATGGAGTTTTTGCAATGGATGAATGGATTAGGAGTTACATGGGGGTGAAGTGGCGCTGTCAGTCATCGATGGCGGCGACTGAATCATGTGGACGTGCACAGCAGTGGCCGATCGGCCACAGGCCGTGGTCGCCGCGTGGCGGCAACACGTCGGCGTTGGCCCGGCCGGTCAGGCTAGCACGGGCGCATAAACGCCGCGCACTCGCCGCTCACTCCACTCACCCGCCCTCACCTTCTCCCTCTCACTCTGCCTCTACAAAGCGCAGCGCCGAACTCACCGCAGCACCGCCGCAGCCGCTCGCCGCCAATATAGCCTCGTTGGCCGATTCGTCTCGGCCATAGCTACTACGCCATCACCTCCACCTCCTCGAGCCACCAGCACCACCTACCGACCCTAGGTACTGCGGCATTTTGCCTCGCCATAGCCGTCGTCGTCACCGAAGCGCCGCCGCGCTCACGGCTCACCGTGGCCCGATTGTTCCACCGCACCATAGGCTTCCATCTCCTCTGGTCCAGTGCCGCACTAGAGTCTAGATGCTTAGGCCGGAGCTAGGAATGATGCCACCGCTTGATAGCGCCGGAACGAGTCACCGCTCCGCCCGCGTCCGCCATGGCCGCCGTGGCACTCGAGCTCGCTGCCGCCGAGTTGGTTCACCATCTCCCTCCTTTCTCTCATGCCTTAGGTCGAGTAACCCAAGACCTCGCTAGTGCCATGATGGAGACCCACCTTTCGCCGCCGTCTAGCTAGAACAGCGTGAGCACCACCGTGCTCCGTGCGCCATCGCACAGCCATGCACACGACCAAGCTCACCGATGCCACCTCGAGCCCTCACCTGCACCTTGTAGCTTCGCTAGGTCACCCGGATGGAGTAGCCATCCTCGCCTGAGTGTGCCGTAGCCTGAGATGGCTGGCGTACCGCTACCAAACCTCCGCCATCCGCCATGGCCGCCATCAAGCTTGCTCCGGCGAGCCACCGAGACAATTAAGCCTACCAGTCGATGCGCGTGGGTGAGATGAGTGTAGTGGTGAAGACGCTACCGCCAGAGACCTCGCCGTCGGTGAGTTCTCGCCGGTCAGCGCCGTCCCCTATTTTGGTCTCATTGACGAGTGGGTCCCCATTGACCGCGGGCCCTAGCTGTCAATCTGTGTGATGATGTGATTTTTTGGATTTATTTCATAGATTTGAATGCATGTTTCAAAAATTCATATCTAGAGCTTGGAGTGTCCAATTTTGGTGAACCAAACTCATGAAGTGTAGTATTTTATAAAAATATTATATGCACTGTTTATGGTATTTTTCTGGAAGAATAAAATGTAGCTAGATAAATGGTTTTTAAATGGTTTTTTATCTTGTAAAATGCATAACTTGAGCTAGGAAGGTGATAAATTGGGATTCCAATTTTACTGGTCTTGTGTTGACATACTCTAGCTAGGAAAAATATTAAACCTACAGTAAGCATATTTGGATATGGTCTTCCTATTTAGTCCTAATTAATTGCTAGTT